CCCCGCCCGCTCCGTCAGGCTCCGCCCCGCCTTCTCAGGCGCCGCCGGGAGCGCGCTCCAGCTCACTGCTCCCTTAAGCAAAGCCCTTCGCTGCCTGCCTGCTGCACCGGCCGCTTAGCGCCCCAACCGCAGGACCCCGCTCCTGCACATCGGGGCTCCCCCCAGGGGTCTGTGTTTTAACCGCCTGTCCTCCGCAGCAAATGAGTTGGGGGAGGGCCGAGGGACTAGCTTCGGACTTCAAGTCCAATTCCACCTCTCGCACCACGCCCCCCCACACACCCCACCCTCGCCAGGCACCTCCGACGACCTGTGCAGGTGGCATAACTGGAGCTGGATCTCCTCTAAGTGACATCGTTGGGATCGAGGGAGGTAAACCCTGAGTCCCGCTTCAGTCCCTCCGTGGGCATCACTGGGCACCCACCTTCACCACAAGATGAGCCTCTCCCTCTTTGGCCTGCTGAGCTGACCCCGAGCGGCTGCGAACACCTTAGAACCAAATCAGCAAAACTACCAGGCTTCTCTCCATCTTTCTTCCAGCTCTCCGTCCTTCCTTTTTTCTCTGCTGTCCTGAAAATGGCCCCAGGATTATCTGAGCTCAGGCGCTAATCTTGCAACCGCACGAGTGGTTTGCTCTTTCCTCGTGAATTTCAAGTTGGAACCAGGTGCCCTCTAGCCCATCACCTCCTTCGACACTTACCTTGTAAAACTAATCCTTTCTCAGCCCCAAACTAGTGAGCAAAGGCAAGAACATGACTCATCTAACATAAGAGACTGATCTTGCTAGGTTCGTTGCTATTTTTCCCACCGGGAAAAAAGTCACATTAAGTTCCTACCTCACACTTTACACAGCAGTACATTTGTTCAGTGAAGGTTATTGCAAACACATACACACAAACATAGCAAAACAAAAACAAAAAGAAGCATTAAATTAGGGGGAAAAAGAAATGGAAAGGTATCATAGAACATGATACAAAACTCAGAAGCTATAAATGAAAAAGACAAACTCAAGTACATTTTTAAACACAGGTACAATTTGTGAAACAAGTAAGAAAGGGCTGATTTTCTTTATATAAAGAGTCTTGACTAATCAATAAGAACAAGCTCCCTCACTGGGTCTCCACTCAAGTACACCTGCAATGAAAGGACACTTTGTTCTATTAACGTGGCATTCCATGATGCTTACCTTGCTGACATGATTGCTGAAGACAAACCAGTGCATAAGCAAAAGTGGTGAAGAAAGCTGATGGTGCCCAGCCATCAAAAGATATAGTGTCTGGGATCTCAAAGGCTTGAAGGTAAACAAGCAGCCATCTAGCTCAGAAGCAACAAAGCCCACATGGAAGCACACCACCCTGTGTGATCACGAGGTGTCAAAGGGATCCGGTATCAGGCTTCAAAGAACAAAAAATCAAATTATTGTGAATGAGGGGGAGTGCAGAGTGGGGACCCAAAACCCATGTGTAGGCCACTGGACATCCCCCACCCTTGCAGAAGGGTCTGGGGGAGGAGATGAGCCAGTCAGGGAGCAGTGTAGCAACAATGAAACATACAACTTTCCTCTAGTTCCTAAATGCTCCCTCCTCCCCCCCCCGCCACACACACACTATCATGATCCCAATTCTACCTTACAAATCTGGTTAGACCAGAGGATGTACACTGGTACAGATAGGAACTGGAAACACAGGGAATCAAGGACAGATGAACCCCAGGACCAGTGGTAAGAGTGGCAATATCAGGAGGGTATAGGGAAGGTGGGGTAGAAAGGGGGAACCAATTACAAGGATCTACATATAACCCCCTCCCTGGGGGACAGACAACAGAAAAGTGGGTGAAAGGAGATGTCAGACAGTATAAGACAGGGCAAAATAATAATTTATAAATTATCAAGGGTTCATTAGGGAGGGAGGGGAAAAATGAGGAGCTGATAGATACCAAGGGCTCAAGTAGAAAGCAAATGTTTTGAGAATGATGATGGCAACAAATGTACAAATGTGCTTGAACAATGGATAGATGTATGGATTGTGAGTTGCACGAGCCCCCCAAAAAATGATTAAAAAAAAAGAACCAACACCCTAATAAAAGATGGGCAAAGGCAGAACAGTTGAAAGCAAAAGAAATACAAGCGGCTCAAACACCGGGTGTTGTTCCGAAGGGAAATGTAAATTAACCCTTTAAGGAAGTACTTTTTAAACCACATTGGCAAAGTTCACAAAGCTTGAAAACACAATGTGCTGACAATAACGGGGATGCAAAAGTTTTAAAACATCTATGGAGGGCAATTCAGCCCCAACAATCTTGTGTATGTGAGCATGCCCTTTGGCTCACAGCCCACTTCCACAGAGTTCCTCTCTGCTCTGAGTCAGCTGTAATAATGGAAGAAATGGTGGGAGGAAAGCGGGTTAAGTAAATCCAAAATCTCAAGGAATTCCAAAAGCTCCCACTTCATACCTAAGTTTAGAAAATACTTTGCTTCCATGCCCCAGGCCCTCCTCTGATTATTTCTGAGTTCCTGCCTCTGCCCCAGACAGTAAAGCCTCCTACATGCCTGGCCAGACCAACCACAGGCATGATTGCCAATATTTGGATTCAGTTATTGATTCCTTCCCATCCACTTGGGCTTCTGCTTATTAACGGGAAGGTTCCTGCTAACCACCACCAGTCTGTCCTACTTGGGTGGCTTACATACTGCTGTAATAACACAGATCCAACAGCATTTCAAATAGCACTAGGGTCACCTGTGGTGGACAGGTTTCAGTGGAGCTTCTGGCTAAGACTAGGAAGAAGGGCCTGGCAATCTACTGCCAACCATTAGCCAAACAAAGCAGAGCATAACACTGTCGTTTGCTGTGGGCACGTCACCACGAGGGGTTATCTGCTACATGATATTATGCTTGGTAACAGGGAGGACAAGGAGGTGCCTCGGAACATGGACTGGCACAGTGGCTGTTGTGATGGCCTTCAACATGGTGGGGACTGTGAGGCTGACTGATGCAGGACTGGGCCACCTTCCAGTCTCCTGTACACAAGGTCAGGGCCCAGAGATTACCAATAGCAAGTGATGGGCAGTAGGTGAGCCTCAAATATAACAGGGGCAAGGTCTCTTTAAAACTACACTGAGAAGCCACAGACACTTCATTATAAGATTTTTAAAAACACAGTACAGAATGAGAATACATTTCCTTCTGCTCCATGACCGTTCAGCTTCTCACCTCCTAGCAGCAGTCTCTTGGGCACTCTGGGCCAGGAAGCGGGAAACGACCCTTCAGATGGGGAACCACTGGGCAAGAACTGGAGTGGTGGCTGGCTGAAAATGCTCTGGCTCCAACCACAATGCCAACCATGTAAGAGGTAAATCTTTGGCTCAAAAGCCAAGTGAAAACGGATTTGGCTCAGGCTCATGTGCAGAAGACGGGAAAGGGCAGACGTGATGAAAGGTGAGAAAGACGGGCTGCCTTGGGGAATCATTTCTAGAATGCATGGTTCATGGTTCTGAGAACAGGTTACGTAAACATGGCCGAGGCTAGAGGTGGGTCACCCTGCAAATGTCAAAAGAAAGGAGGGAGAGGAATCAGAGTAATAGTACACTTCCCATCTGCCAAGGAAATCCGCCCCATTGTTCAATCCTTTTTTTCCTCTAGATAAAACAGCAGACAACTGTTTTTTTTATTTTTAAAAAGGGTTTATTTTGTACTAGTAAGGATGGGACCAAGAAAAGAAGTTTACAGAAAAGATGTCATATATAAAGAAAAAAATACAAAATACTTTTTGTTCATAATTTAGAAATAAAGTAATCTCTAAAAAGAATCCGTTCCCCCATTCCTCTCTCCCGTAAGAAGAGGGACCCGGCACATCAGCTCCTGGACACCCTCAGCAGGCCCCGGACACGCCGGACCAGGGCTTGTATGAAGCTATAGCGAGAGTGGACTTTGGAGTACAGTCCTTCAATGTCCAGAAGCTTCTTCTGCAGCGATTCTCCGAAGGCGCTGACGGAGTCGGCCTGAAGCTGGAGGGACACAGACGACAGCACGGCTTCAGAACACAGACACCGACACTCTTCCTTCCCACTCTACACCCAGCGATCCAACGTTCCGGGGTGGCCTTGTGCGATGGACCTGGCTCGGATGCCAGGCCCAGTTCCCCGTTCCCTCCCGAATGGGTTTCCCCAGGTCCTTTCCTGTAAGTAGCTGAGCGGCTGTGGCTGAAGATATCCTAACACACACAAAGGAGTCCCGGAGGGCCCCTGGGGGATCTGTGGAGAGAAGCTGCCTTGGGGAAAAGAAACAAAGGATAGGAGAAAAGGGGGGGTCAGGGGGCAGAAAGGAGGGGACTTTTCCTTTGCTATCTAACTTCATTTTGTAAATTAAAACAATCGCATGCTTTCATTTTCAAGAAAAACAGTGGGGGGGGGCACTAGTGGATAAATCCCATTATGTTCTTCAGAGTTCGTGGGCTATTTGGGAAGGCACATGTTGTTTCGGATGGGTCTTTTAGATATCAAACCACAAACTCACTGTCAGCCAGTTAATTCCCACTCATAGTGAAGAACTGCCCCTGTAGGTTTCTAAGACTGTGAATCGTTATCTTCTCCGAGTTGCTGGTGGTTTTGAACTCCTGACCTTCCAGTTAACAGCCTAATAACAGGGCTGCTCTTTTGAATATAGAAATGTTAAAATTAAGTTCAGAATTAGACAGCCCTCCTTGTCCTGGGTTCTGCATTAAAATCACAGCAGATTCCTGTATGAAATGATCTATTAGTGCCTTGTTTTCCCTAACTGCACAGCAGACACGTCTACATACAGCAGTTAACATGATTTCATTCAATCTGCATCTGTGAGTCACCTTCTGCGATGTCTGCACACGGCTGGCCTCCCTTCCTTCCCCCAGGGACTCCCCATAGCCCAGTCACATGGATGGAATCACTCAGGGCGGGGCGGGGCGGGGTGAGGCAGGGTGATTCTGAGGCTGGGACCTGTGCTCCTCTGTGCTGGCTGAGGTTAGGAGGGACCAAGCAAAGCAAAGGCTGCCCCAGTCAGGCACCTCGTGGTGGATGCAGTGGGCCTTCGTTTTCTTTCTTTTTTTTTTTTTAAACATTTTATTAGGGGCTCATACAACTGTTATCGCAATCCATACACACATCAATTGTGTAAAGCGCATTTGTACATCATTCTCAAAACATTTTCTCTGTTTTGAGAAACAATGTACAAATGCGCTTTACACAATTGATGTGTATATGGATTGGGATAACAGTTGTATGAGCCCCTAATAAAATGTTAAAAAAAAAACATTTTCTCTCCACTTAAACCCCCGACATTAGGTCCTCATTTTTCTCCTCCCTCCCCGCTTCCCCCCTCCCTCATGAGCCCTTGATGGTTTATAAATTGGTATTTTGTCATATCTTGCCCTGTCTGACGTCTCCCTTCACCCACTTTTCGGTTGTCTGTCCCCCGGGGAGGAGGTCGCACACAGTTCCTTGTAATCGGTTCCCTCTTTCCTACCCATTCTCCCTTTACCCTCCCTGTTTCGCCACTCACACCACTGGTCCTGTAGGGCTCATCCGCCCTGGATTCCCTGGATTTTCAGTTCCTATCTGTACCAGTGTACATCCTCTGGTCTAGCCAGACTTGCAAGGTCGAATTAGAGTCATGGTAGTGGGAGCGGGGAGGAAACATTTAGGAACTAGAGGAAAGTTGTATTTCTCATCGTTGTTACATCGCACCCTGACTGGCTCGTCTCCTCCCCGAGACCCCTCTGCAAGGGGATCTCCAGTGGGCCTTCGTTTTCCTGCTAAGAACAGGACGTGACCACTGGTGCCACAGGAGGCTCTCATGGTCACTGCCCAGGGCTGCTCATCCATTCCCTCCCACAATGCTGCTCAAAAGTGCTGTGCTGTGCTCAGCATGTAATTTCTCAGGAAATCACTGAGGAGTGAGACTATGCTACAGTCGCCTACCACAGCGGGGGTGCAACGGCTCCTCCCCACTGAAAAATCACATGCCAAGTGATATTTGTGCCTAAAAATTCTACAAAGTTCATTTTAAATGTGGGTGTATGTGTTGGGGGATGGGGGTAGGGCAGGGAGATGACGGTGCTCCTGTTCTCTAAATGGCACCTGGAGTTCCCAGGCAATAATATTTTCTACTTTCTGAGCACTTAACTGCATCCCAAGCCCTGCACAAGGGGGTGCATGGCCAGAAAACCTCCCCAAATGCTAACAAAAGTATGTGAATCTGATTCTCATTCACAGGGTCCAAGTGAGGAAAGAAAAGCTCAGAAGTTAAGCTGTTCTGAGTTAAACAGCTGCAAGATGGCCATACTGGGTCTCTGTATGCAGCCCTGGAGTAGACTCTCACGAACACATCAGGCTTGTGGGCCCTGATCTTTTGTGGTCCACGTGTGGGGACAGACCCACCCCTGATCCCCGTCTGGGCTGGACCTGACCTGGTCTACGTCGTGCTGACTCACGACGGTCAGCCCCCTCCTGAAGTCCAAGCTGGTGTCGGAGGCGAAGGAATCTAGAGATGAAAGGCACAGTCAAACCGCCTGGCGAGAAGCGCAAGGCCTGGAGGAGACGCGAATCAGAGACGTACAGGAGCGCACTCCAGGGGAGAGCTAGGGCGCCCAGCCAGTCAGCTGATGCCCGGGGAGTCTAGGACAAGGGCTCCAGCTTGTCTCCTGCCCAGGGCACGACCGTTGGCTGACCACGGAGTTCTGGGGCAGCCTGCATGAAGAAGCGGAGGGGCTGTCTCTAGGAGGTGTTTGCTGAGCCCCACAACATTGTACCAGGTCCCAAGGAGCTCTGACCCCTCTTGTCCTCTCGCCTTGCCGTCTGTCCGCAGCAGAAACAAAGCCCCAGCCTACCTTGCAGCCTCCTGCCGGCACACAGGGTCCTGGAGGGGAACAAGGGGTCCTGGGCATCGGGAGGTGTGCAGTGCAGCAGGTAGTACTCCAGGTGGCGCCAAAACACGAACAGGCAGGTCTCTATGATGACTGCGCGGCAGCACTTGTTAAGGACAAGTCACGATCAAGTGTGTGAGGCAGTTTTTGAGGGAGGGAGAAAGAAGAGGAGGAGGTGACACCAGCTGGGGCAGGGGCGCACTACCCCCATCTGACAGGCAGCCCCGGCAGGCACCCAGCTGCGTGCAGAGAGGAAGCCGGGCAGTGTGCAGGGACCTGAGGGGCTCAGTGGCCGCAGACCCGAGCACTGCAGAAGGATACAGGAGCAGAGCGAGAGCAGGGTGGCGCGGTTGTTGATGAGCGTCACCAGGCGCCGGCGCGCCAGGACGTACTTCTGAGCGGTGGGGATTTTGTCAACCCCGGCAGGCAGCACGGACTGGCACAGCTGAGAGAGAAGGGAACAAGGTGCGCTGGTGAGAGTGGCTCAGGCAGGCAGGAACGGGTGATTGACATAGAACAGCTCACTGGAGAGCCTCTGGGAGGCCCCCGGCCAGAGGAGCCCCAGGAATGGATGAACTCGCACACGAATGCCCCCCCACCGCCTCTGCTAGCCGCGCCCCCCGAACAGGCAACTCCAATCTGATGCCGAACCCGCGACTTAGGGCTCGGGCTTCCGAGTGCAGCCAGTGGTTTTGGCCCACCAGCTTCTCCACGGCAGTCGTGGGCCGTCTGCTTCTCAGTGCCTGCCGAGCAGCTCTACTGCCCCAAGGGCCACCGTGGGTGGCTGGGAGTGCCACCAACCCCTGAACTGTCACACTAAACAGGGCACAACAACTTCTTCCGAGGCAGTGAGGGTCTCTCTCAGTGTCTGGGGGATCTCTGTTAGCCGTGCGGAGCCTTCTGGAGAGAAGGGAAGGAGCGTCCAGAGCAGAGCAAAACAAGAGTCCACTGGAGCCTCTCCAACCACTCCCCTCAACAGGCTCAAGTTCACAGGGACATTCCCCTATCTTTTCATTCCATTTTCCACAAACTCTTTGCGTCTCTCTCCAATAAGCATCTCAGCCCAATTTCACATTCTGACCCTGGGTTTGACTGTGGTGGGCCTGGGGGATTTTAGGATGAGGTCACCATCCTTCTAACAAGGACTAGCATCTCCTAGCAAAAGGCCCATGAGCTGCCTATACCTGAGGAAAGCCTGGCAGACTGAAACAGGAGTCCCACACAGAGGTCAGGGTGGGTGTCACCTGACCCCAATCTCACCTTCTCCCTGCTAACCAGGTGTGTCAGTGAGGTGAGCCTGTGCCTGGTTCCTCACAGAAGCGGAAGCACCCAGTGCCTGTGTCCTCCTCCTGAGAGCAGCAGGGGGATGGAGGACACCAGGCTGACACAGGCCTGGCAAGATGACTGCACAGCCACTTGAGCAGTGCATTGGTGCCAGGCACACGCCACCTTGGAGTTGAGCCACGTGCCATGGGAAAGAAGGCAGGCCACCCAGGGGCCTCGCAGGAGCGAGTCTTAGTCACTGAGGGGAGAAAAAGGCCAGCCTTGTGTTGAAATTCCCACCAGGCAGGTAGTGGAGACATTGCGGGCCACAGCAATCATCTCCTGAAACAGCATTGAGCCAGATCCCAAGCTGAGATAGTTTATTGTGCCAGCCAGGCCGATAAACACAAGTGGGATTAACTGAAGGGCAGAGAGATAAATGGCTTGGTGAGTCTCGTCTTTCTTGTCTCTCGCTCTGTGATCATCGGACCAGTGTGCGGCTGCCTTGCTTGTCCTGTGCCTCAATTTAAAGGCTACACTACCTGTGGGACGCCTAGCCTGTGGACTGTGTCGCTGTAAGTTGAGGTCCCTTTAAGAGATCGCTGGAGCTGGGGACTGGCAGTTGGTGACCTGGTTGGCAGTTGGTGACCTGCCTTCTGATTGGCTGCTGTGCTGACACAGCCTAGCTCTCTCTATAAATAGAGGAAGATCTGGCAGCAGCAGACTAGACTTGAAGGACTGCTAGTCTCTCACAACTCTCTCTCACAGACGTGAGTTGAATTGAGCCATTTGTAGTGCTATATAATTTAACTGTTTCTTTCTTGTATTATATATTTATCTGTATATGATTTAACAGTTCATTTCTTGTTATATATCAAATTATATTTATAAATAAATATATTAAATTATCAGCAATTTGGTTTTATCTCTCTAGAGAACCCTGTCTAACACACAGGCTTAAAGCCGAAGGGCACAGAAGAGCTCAGCTTAGAGACAACAATCACTTCACATAGGGACGAATGTTTATATACATAAATATGGGGCTTAGTCAATTTCAGACTCAAGAATTAGGTAGAGTTCTTCAGTTTCGCCATCACTAGCTTTAGTACACTTGAATAACAGTCGTCTTAAATGGATGGACACCAGGGCTGCGAGAATGGGATCAAACATGACAACAGTGAGGGGAGCACAGGACCGGACAGCGTCCTATGCGCTGGAGCCAACCGGATGGTCCCTAACAATCGAACAATTTCACGGCTGACGTGACCAGCACCCCTGGCTCTAAGGCCAGCTGCCTTCCTCCAGCCCGGAAGCTGGTATTCTAGAACAAGAACCCCTGCACTATTCTCCAACCAGGAGGTCCTCTGCTCATGGGGCACGGTGCTAGAGTGTGGAACCTTCTCCAAGCCACCCCGCTCACAGGTCTTAGGCCAGCACCTCAGGCCCATCCGTACCTCTTTTATCTCGTCAGGTGGGAGCTGCTCCACGTTCTGCAGCTTGTTGACGCTGCGCCGGTGACTGTCGTAATAACTGAAGAAATCGTTGGCGCTCTGCTTCAGCAGGTAGAGGATGATGCCCAGGCCAGGCAGGCGCCAACAGGGAACCACCAGTGCTTGGGTGTCTAATAGAGTAGATGACATAAAACCACATGGGCCTCTCATAGTTTTATAGCACTTTGCAGTGACCTGCTTTAAAACATGGGTGCCCAGACACTTGAGGGCAGGTAAGCCATCAGGAAGACCAGGCCGGGCCTCTTTTAAAGACCGCCGGTGGATCAAAGAACTTGCAGGGTTTGAAAAAGGGTGTTAACCTTAGAAAAGTACAGCTCATTCTATAAGGTGTCATAAAGCCTGTCTGTAAAGTCCAAGGAAGGAAATGATAGGCAAAAGATGGACTCACAGGAGCAGGAGCAAAATGGATGTTTGTGCACAGCACGTGAAAGGAAGGTAGTTCTGCTTGGAATCTGACGTTCAGGTTAAATGTGTTTCTGGACTTTGTAGAGTTGGGGGGGAGACACGGCTTGCTCCCTGGAGGCAGTGAGCGGGTCTGCCCAGCTGCAGACCATCACAGCTGAGGAGCAGAGAAGCTGCCAGGAGGAGGGGTGGGGCAGGTTAAAGTCGTGCTGGCCAATTAGATGACCCCACTTATCTGAGTGAAAATGGGCCTTTGTGGTTGGATACTGGTTAGTCTAGAAACTGCCAATGACCAGGACCTCTCTTAACATTGCTTGAGTCACCAGGTCATGAGGGTCACACGAGGTCAGCACTTTACTTTGCTCCACCACCACAGAAATGGGGTGCAAAAACACCTCCCTCCATTGAAGACAATGGCTTCAGCGTGACCTGCCTTAGCACACCCAATCTGTTTTCACATTGAACTGCAAACCACAAGGCCCGCATTTCAAAACCACGAGCCACTCTGCGGGAGAAAGATGAGGCTGTCCTCTCCAGTCAAGATCGACAGCCTCAGAAACACACAGAGGCAGTTCTACTCTGTCCTCTATATTCAAGATGAGTCCACATGGACTTGATGGCAGTGAGTTGGGGGAACTTTTTCTCCAGTCCTGGGGCCTTTCTTTGGGGCCTCCAGTGCCACTCCTCAAAACTATCCTCTCTCCACAGGGCTCCTGCAGCCTGGCCGCAGGAAATACTCCCCTACCCCATGACACCCTGTTCTCAAAAGCTCTCCAGACTCCTGGCGCTGTGCCGAGAAACTCCAGCCCACTCCTTCTTAAAAAGCCTGTGAAAAAAATCCCCATTAATGACTCATTGCAGCAACAAGTGTGCTTCCCTGGGGCCCATTGCAGCCACAGAGCTCTTCCCATGCAGCCAGAAGGCCCGGGCTCACCTTGCCGAGGCCCGTCTCTGTTCATGGTTTCAGAAAGGCTGGGGGTGAAGAGACACACGGTGTGCTGGAAGGTGGGAGAGCTCTGCAGCAGGAGCGACTGGCAGTATTCCATGACGTTGGCACAGATCTACAGCAATAGAAGAGCCACCACAACGGCGTCAGCCCGCAAAATGACCTGATAGCATGGCACCCTTTCTAAGTATTTGCAAAAGTATAAGCACTTCGGTTAAGGCACACATCAAGGCTCCCAGCCCCCGTACCTGCTGCATGGCCAGCTCAATCTCATCTTTCTTGCTCACTTTATCACCTTCCACATTATCCTCTTGAAACTTAAACTGCCGAAGTCTGTCAGAGCCACCAAAGCGGGTGAGCAGCCCTAAGCACTGACGCTGAGCAAGAAAAGAGATTTTGTTGATGTCGAGGCGAACCAAAAACCAAGTTCACTGCAATCGAGTCCACTCTGACTCATAGCAAGTCTAAAGGATCAGGTAGAACTGCCCCCGTGGGGCTCCCAGGCTGTAATTCTTTGCGCAGGCATAGAAAGCCCCTTTTCCCCCGGAGCTGGTGGCTTCAAACTGCTGACTTTGTGGTTAGCAGCTCAACAGGTAACTGCCAGGGCTCCAGTTCTATCAAGGTTGGAAGTTTAAAATCAGTGGCCTATCTTTCTCAAAAGTGAAGCAAAACAAGAAAACTCCCATGAGGAGCATGCAGGGGGCTGCTTGAAATCAGTCATATTCTCCACAAGGCCAAATGGAGTCAGAATTATTAAAATTCATCATTTTGCAAATGTATTTGATTGGTCAATAAAAGAAACCCAACTGTTAACAATTAGTCCCAAATACTATCTAAACATTCATCAAAGAATTTTCTGCAGCAAACCAGTATGTGTGTGTGTACTTATAGCTAGGAGCCCAAGTGGTGTAGTGGTTATGTGTTGGGCTGTCATCTGCAAGGTCAGCAGTTCAAAACCAGCAGCCACTCCTCAGACAAAAGATGGGGCTTTCTACTCCCATAAAGCATAAATTCCCAAGGCTCAAGTAGTAAGAAAATGTTTTAAAAACAGTGGTGGCAACAAATGTACAAACGTGGTTGACATAATGGAAGGATGTGACTGTGATAAGAGTTGTACAAGCCCCAAAAATGATTAAAAAACTTTTTTTTCAAGGGTTCTTAAGGGTAGGATGGGGGAGGGGGGGGGGAATAAGGACCTGATACCAAGAGCTCAAGTAGAAAGCAAATGTTTTGAAAATGATGATGGCAACATATGTACAAATGTGCTTGACACAATGGATGGATTGATGGATTGTGATAAGAGCTGTACAAGCCCCCAATAAAATGATTTTAATAAATAAATAAAAATAAAATAGAATCTAAAATAACTGCCGAGGCCTTATTAATGAAGGGTAAAGTCAATATAATATAGATTGCAATTCAAGTAAGGTAAAAATTAATATACTGCAATCACAATCATGTAATCTAATCAGCTAAATTAAAGTGGACTATGAAAGGGAAAAAAAAGTAGAATTCTTGGGAACTCACAGGTGCATTTCTAACCTGTCTTAAAGGGTCATCGTGAGTTGGCATCAACTCCATGGCAGTGAGTTTGGCTAAATGCTGCCCGTTGGATTTTAAGTGGTGGATTATTCTACCAAGGGGGAGAATTTCACTCCAGACCTGAAGGGTGACTCAGGGCCATAGTCTTGGGGGTCCCACCCATCTCTACCAGACCAGTCAGCCTGGTCGCACTGATGATCTGGTCCCCCATTTTGCTCCCATGTCATCCCGGACTTTCCAATGTGATACTTAACCTGGCAGTTATCCGTCGTGGTAGCAACTCTTAATGAGTTTTACAGAAACACTCAACTACAGACAGCAAACAAGTGGAGCACAGTGATAACAATAGCAAGCACATTTTTTAAATAATGGTATTCAATTCTGTTCAACACAGTTGTTCCTTCCGGTCAGGTTCAATGACAGCGGAGGCTACCCCACAGACAGAGAAGGAGCTCAGTGTTACACACGCATCTCTGAGATGGACTGGCATTTCTCAAGGAAAGTCAATGAGTCAGAGCTGAATTGCTACTTGAAGAAATTAGGAACCATTACCTGGAACCGTCCGATATGTCCCTGGAGCTCCATGAGCGAGCCTTCATTGACCTCAACATCGAGTTCACTCAGTATGCCTGTAAAATTTAGAATGTATTTTTAGGTTTAATTTTACAATCCACAGAATGAAAGCCAGAAAACTAGGAAAAGCAATCCTAATGGGTCATAGTGTACCTATGATGCACAGGCAGACCCTTGCAAGGGCAATGAGGCAGTTAGTTTATTGTACCAACCTGGCCGATAAACATGTGGGGTTAATTGAAGGGTGGGGGAATAAATGGCTCGGTGAGTCTCGCCTTTCTAGTTCTCAGGTCTCTTGCTTTGTGAGGTCAGACCAGGGTGGAGCTGCCTTAGCCAGTTCCCTGCTTCAGCTGGCAAAGCTCACTTCCTGCAAGACATCCCCAAGGAGAAGCTGCATGGACCTACCCTGATGCAGCCATGAGTGCTGGAGCAGCTGTGTGGAGACCCCTGCCAGTCGGCATCATTGTGTCTGTTTTGTGAAGTGGATTGGTGTCTGTTTTTGTGGATTGGTGATGGACATATGAGTTAATGTTGGACTTGTGGGCTTGGGCAGAACTGAGTTGGGATATTTTCTTGATGCACATTTAACCTTTATATAAAACTCTCTCTTATATATGAATTTCTGTGGATTTGTTTCTCTAAAGTACCCAGACTAACACAGGCAGGGCTTAAAGAAATCAGATTTGACAGTATTTCTAATGCCTTTCTTGATGTGCTCATTTGCATGAAACCTGAACACTGGACTGCATTCATGGAGGGTTAAGAGAAAAAAGTAATGTATTTTACTCCTAGGGTGGGTTTCATATTCTAAACTCTCCTAGGAGGTGGTAATTTATGGGGCAGTTTTATGGTTAGAAGTAAAAATTAGATTTATCTTGGAAATGTAACGACAATAATAAAAACCAAACTTTAAACCCCCTGATTCCATCTATTAAGCCGCAGCCATCAAAGTTGCCTGGTACTGGCATAGCAACAGGCACATCGTCCAATGGAGCAGAAGGGAGAGGCCAGAAGTAAACCCACACATCAATGGTCAACTGACCTTTAACACCATTTGAGGGGAAAGAATAATCTTTCCAATAAATGGTGCTGGAAAGGGATTTCCACATTCAGAAAAACCAAACAGGATCCATGACTCACACCATACACATAAAAATAACTCAATTTTTGTGCAATTTAAGCCCCTACACATATAAAACTAGGATTCTCAGTACCGTGGTAGTAGCATTTTGACGATAAACACTGGATTACCTAGTAGAGTAGCAGAAAAGCACAAAGTGCAAAAGACAAAAAAAGGTGGACCTCACGAAAACTGTAAGCTTTTGCTCATCAGGACTTTCCTTGAGAAATGAAAGGGCAAAAAAAAAGAGAGAGGAAAGGACAAATATCAGCTGGTAGAATTTCCTTAGGAACTATTTATCTAAAACGAAGCTAATATAAATAACATAACCCAACTCCAAAGGAGGGGAGGGTATCAAAGCTTAAGTTGTACAGAAGGCTATGGGTGACAGTGGAAACCCAAAATCCATTTGGAGGATCTGCATAGATTGAGACCCTCTGATCTGAGTAGAGGGATGTGAACAGCCTGGTTATCAGATAGAGAGCACTGTAGAGAAGACGATAGATTAATATGGAACATGTGATTTGATCCCCTTTTGACACATTTAAGAGTTCTAGCTGTTTAAAAAACAAAAAAGGTGATGAGACAAAGCGCCTGATGAATCCCCTGAACACGGACCAGGGATGTGGACAGCCTGCTCTCCTACAGAATGCACTAGAAAGTGGAACATTACAGAGCATCCAGGTCGAAACCTTACACCTTACAGTTTGATCTTCCTTTGACCCATTTTAAAGTTCTAGTTTCTAATATTCTCAGTTTTCTTCCCAACTGGGTTTTTTCTCTTATTTTAATTTGTTACGATTGTTAGCTTTTTTGACTGTTTTGAGTTGCGGTATGTTTTTCGGTATATGGAATCCAAGATGGGTGACTCTATAGAGGTAGTACTGCATTAATGGCTCCTTGGGGGAGGTTGGGGGAAGTGGGGGAGACAGTGACAAGGAGTACAAGAAAGAAGAAAATGTTCTCAAACGGATTGTGGTGAAGGCAGTACAGCTCTTCTTAATATGATTGAATGATTGAATCGTATGCTATTTGGATTCTGTTCCAATAAAACTGTTTATAAAAAAGGAAAATAACGTATCTAATAACATGTACAGACACACACACACGTTTGACAACGAAAAGACAAAATAAGTCAATCATAAAACGGGAAAATTACTTCAATAGGCATGTCACCAGAGGACATTCAAATGGCCACCAAACCCATGAAAAGAAGCTTGGTACCCTTAACCATCGGAGATGCAAAGGGAAGCCACAGAGATGCCACTTCACTGCCACCAGGATGACTGCGATTGAAAAGAAAGAGAAGAAACAACCCACATTGGCAAGGATGCGAGGGACCGTGATCCGTATCGCCTGCTGGTGGAAATCAAAATGACACAGCCACGGCAGCCAAGTGTGGTGGCTCCTAAACACACACACACACACACACACACACACACACGATACAGTGGCTCCTAAACACACACACACACGATACAGTGGCTCCTAAACACACACACACACACACACACACGATACAGTCGATTCCGCTCATCGTGACCCCACAGAAGACAGTGCTGTCCCCACAGGGCTGTGACGGCTGTTCACCTCTATGGAAGCTGACTTCCTCATCCTTCCCCAGCAGTGTTGCTGGTGGGTTCAATCTGCCTACATTGTGATCACCAGCCCAACACTTTATCCTGCCAGCAGGCTGCAAAGCAACCTATGACCCGGCCATTCCATTCCTAGCTTGAAGGCAGTGATTCAAAAGGAAACTTGTACATCAATGCTCACCACTGCACTATTCACAACAATCAAAAGGTGAAAGTAAATAAGCTAAAAGATACACGGACGGCTGGAGGAACAAAATGAGGTACACAATGGAGTACTGATCCTGTCAGGGCAAGAAGTAAAGTCTTGACTCGTGCTACAGGATGGACGGAGCTTACAGACACTGTGCTAAGCAAAAGACGCCAAACACAGAAAGGCAAGTAAGGTACAGCCTCACTTACATAAAAGGTCAGAAAAGCCAAACCAAACATATGTACAAATGTGCTTCAAATAACTGATGGATGGTATGTCATAAGAGCTGCTGAAAAGCCCCCAATAGAATGATCTATAAAATAAAAATAAATAAAAGAAAGCAGCAACAAAGAAAAAAGAAAAGCCAAATGGATAGAGGCCAGTTTCTTGTGGCTACAAAGGCAGGAATGGTGGGGGATGAGGGTTCAGCAGTGATGGGCAAACTGCTGTAAGGGTGGGCATGCACAATCAATTATATTTGCTCTAAGTTGTACACCTATAAAAAGTTGAGCTACCAAAAGCTGTGTGATATATGACAACTACAATAACACAAAGAATTAGCTCCAAAAAAAATTAGCTCAGAGGTTGCTTAGGAACAACCGAACACCTTATGGAATTTGGTGCCTTGGTTGAGAGTGATAGTTTCACAGGTCAACCCAGGTAACTGATCTAAGAATTTTGTTTAGTGCTTCTGTTCTACTTAGATCTTTGCATAGTGCCTGGGATCTTAAAAGCTTGCAGGCAGGCAGTCACCAAAGGCACAGTAATTGCTTTCCATTGGCCTGGAGCAACAGGGAAAACAGGAGAACTCAGGATTAGGAAGAGGATTGTTCACCATGAGATCAGGACTGAAAGTGCCTGGCTACTATTACTGAATATTTTGATAAGAAGTAGAAAAATCCTGATCAAAAGGAGGAAATGTAAAACAGAATTTAAGACACTCTTCCATTTTCTAAATCCAGGGAGTCTGGATGAACTCCTGAAATCATCGTTAAACCAGACCAAATGATATTTTAGCATAAGTAGCATTATTGTTCTTTTAAGAACTACCTAAATGGTATCAAACTGACAACAAGCTACTAACCGCCAAGACAAGATGGGAACCTTGGGGGCCAGCAGGTTAATACTAATGAGAGAGAAACAGCTCGGAAAAGGAAGGCGGATGAGCATGGTTGCACACCTCAAAGAATATCATCAATGGCACTGAATTGTCCCAGTGGAAGCTGTTGGATTGGTGCACTCAATTTGGTGGGCTGATCTACAGCCCCAACAATATAAATGAAACTTCAGGCCACCTCAGACATCCTCATACACCCATAACCTCGGAGAACATATGCACTTTTTCCAGGGGAGAGGAATCTCAGTACAAGCTTGGGGGTTTCCTATCTTTTTCCATCATAACAGCGTCTAGGGTTCAGTTTGAGTGTCCTATCGTGAAGAATTCGGAAACTTCATCAGTTTTTAATCGGTTACAAGTTTACATAAAGGGACATAGTTCATTTGTAAAGCAGCCTGCAAATGGCAGCTGCGTCCTTCCAGAGATAGCCACAACAGACTAAAGGCCTCATTCTATCTATGTCCCGGAAAGGTCACAGCCCAAACCCACCACCAGCCACTGCCCTGTGGGAGAAAGAGGTGGCCGTCTACCTCCACCAAGATGCCAGCCCTGGACACCCTGCGGGGCAGTAAGCGTCAGAATAGATGTGGTGGTAAACGTGCGCTGGTCTGTGAAGAGGCTCTGGAAGCATGTGCAGCATAATCAACTCACCGGGCAGTGCAGCTTTGCTGATGATCCCTGTCAGCAGCGCCAGCTCCTGCAGAGAGCCCGCACTCATATCCTGGCAGCGCAGGATGGCCTGGATGGTGTCGGAATGCGAGATGAGGAACTGCAACACCTAGGCCACAGGAAGGGAGGAGACGCGGGCAGGTGTGAGCCAAGTGGACCTTTGTGTGAAACACCGCTTTTTCAGGTTTCATTAAAAAAAAAAACCACAATGAAAGTAAAATTGCTAGAGTTTAAAGGGGAAAATTATATTCCTACTAGAAAACTTGCTTATGGAAATTACTCCCCCCTCTGAGTCTTCTAAGTAAGATTTGGCCTTTAGCACGTTCTGTAGGGGAGCATAGCACTGGCCTCCTGGCAGTAAATGCTGCTGGAACTCCATGTCGAAGCTGCAGTGACCACTTCCTGTTAGAGGAACGCAAAGGCAGCTCTCGAGGCGCCGCCCCTCCCCCCCTCCCACCATTCCACTCGTCTGCTCCCAGGCCTCAAAGCAGACCAACGTCCCTCAGGGCAGAGTCCATGGGACCTCGAGCCCTTGGCATTCCTGACCCAGCTCGGCACCCACATGGAATTGCATGTGTCTCTGCCCCGCCTAAAGCGCTCACCTGGCCTGCGGCCTGCAGGTGCTGGGCCATACTGGATGTGAGGATGACTTGGCAGAGCTGGAGGGCAGGGAGCAGGATCTGCCGGTACCGATCCAGCGGGGTGGGGATGAACACCGGGAGGTCCCTCAGGCCAAACATTCTACCAGCAACAGAGAGAGGGGAACATTTCAAGGGTTATGGGGTGCTGGCCAGCCCATTCCCATCAGCGGGGCAGACACCACGTGACAAAGAGTTCTATGCTTCCGACACGTCATTATTGGCTGAAAGAGCTTCCGAAGTCGAGGGAGAACTTTCTGAATGTTCAGACTTTTATCAAAGAAAAACTGCACACTTTGAAAAGACAATGCCTGACACCACACCTCAGACACTCCTGCTGCTCCAAGGGGTCCCTGGGCCTGTGGGTAAGACACAGAGGCAAACAAACACCAACTTCCCTAAATGTTCCTCTCTGACTTCCCACCGCAGGTGAGGGTGCCCTATCCATGACAAGAAAGATTGTTCAAAAGGCGGAGGTTTGCTTATAGCAGCACTTCCGCTTTGGGTCTGTCTCCGACCGCTGCCTGATCAAGTCTGCTCTGAGAACTGCTGGCAGGGCAAGGTCTGTAACCTGGTGGATTGAGCAAAGGAGGGCGGCGGTTGTGGAGATGGGAGTGGAAAGCTTCTTCTCTGGGGGTAAGAGTGCTGCAGATAAACATGATGACGTGTCTCAGTCGTCCTAAGTGTCCCTGCAACCAGCAGGATATATTGAACATGCAGAGTTCAGAGAACAAAAAGAGCCCATTTTGACTCCCTGAGAGCTCTGCTCAAAAGCTTGAACCTTGAGAATGCCACCAGAGAGGGGTTTGCTTGAGAGCTCTCATAGCAGCAGGCAGTTGAGGGGGTTAAAAAAAAGGAAAACTCTGAAATCTGTAGCCACATCACCAGGAATAGGAAATCCACAATTCATCAAATTCCTCAATAATACTGAAAACAGCCACTCTACCAACAAGAGGAAGGTAGCCCGTCCAGTTGCACACTGACCGTGCAGGGCACTCACACTTGCTCTAGAACAAGCAGCAAGCCCACAGCCGCCCCTTGCAGCAAACAGCAGAGGCCACATCAAGAGACACGAGGAGGGCTCAAGAGAATGCCAAGTGGCGCCAAGGCGACGCTAGAGGCTCCTTCCTGCTCAGCCCCTTTCCGGGCCTCCCCTGGGGGATACTTACCCTTGAGGGTCCGTCTCCGGACGCAGGTCATACACCTGGCACTGTGCCAGCCGCACGATCACTCCAGCCCGCAGCAGCTCCAAAGCGCCCTGCTGGGGCTTAGCCACTCGGGTGAGAAATGCCTGGGGCGGGTTACAGACAGAGTCACGGTGATGCAGTCAAGAGTCAGGGCCCACAAATACCAGGGACTGTGCTCTCTGCACCCCCGCCACTCTGCGGGAGACCCCTGAGACTGTCTGCTGCTAGAGAGTTACAGATGCAGAAACCCAACGGGACCATTCTACCCTGCCCTGTGGGACTGCTCCAAGTCAGAACTGACTCGAGGGCAGTGGATAGGGCTTGGGGTTTGTACTCTATCGGAAGTCTTGTGCTGCCAGCAGGACCAGCCCAGATACATGTAACTGTGGTCTGGTTGGTCTGGCTCCCCTCTCTCTTTCCGAAGTTCTGGGCAGGGGGACGGGGACAGCATCAGCATTATCAGCCAGACCCTCAGGATCCCATCCACACACCCTGTGCACACTCAGGATACCCACCTACCCCAGACCCCCACCGGTACTAGTGTATACACGTGAGGCCGCTGACGTGACAAAGGGTTTGAATTGAAGAGCACTGCCAGGCTCTGCCCTGGCTATCAGCCCCCAGAGGAAGTCCCACAGCCTGCAGGGCCTGACTTACCATTTTGGATTCGTACGTGTAAAGGGCTTTCAGAAGGGGCGGTTGGGGAGTGAGCAAGCTCTGCAGAGTCCGGTCATCTTCCGCCAGGCCATCCACCAGCACCTTCAGGTAGCCGCTGTTGGACAGGTACAGCAGCCACTGTTGCTGCTTGTCCACAGAGATGATCCGGTCCAGTAGAGCCAGGGCCAGCATCTGGGGGCAGAGGACAGAGTCCCCACAGGTCTCCCAGATGGGGCCCAAACCCACCCACCATCTTCCTTCCCTGTGAACACTCTGCGTCAGCCCAAAGTGTGACGTCACAGGTGGTTTACAATAAAACTGCCTCGTGGGGTTTGGGGGGGGGGGGGGCCTGCGTTTATGTGTGTTTCAGAAGAAAAAAAATGGAAAATTTTCCACCCAGAATCTTGCTTTATTCATCAAAAGTAAAGCTTTTGAGGGATCCTTTGAAACAAAGCTAACACATTGAAAGAATGGCACCGAACATATTGCAGCAGTCTAGCCTTTGTGTGCTGTACAAAGGAAGTCTTTAAAAAGAGATCATTAGTTTACAACCAGTGCTTCGTATAAAGCCTAGATAAATGGAAATGAAAGGATAAAAACCAGGGGGTCCAATAAATGCAATCAACGCATCTTTGTTCATTTCCTACTGACCTTCTTAAAATTTCCGAATTCTTGGGAGAGCTCAGTAGATAGTACAATTTGCATCCTATTTCTAACTCTTGTTTTATTACAAGACCTTCGAAGACATGATGTCAATGTGATGTAGTTTTCCCACTAACAAGTGGCGATCATCACATGCCAGTATTTTAAAGAAGTACACAAATTCTTGCCACAAAAACACAAGCACCGCCACCTTATGACAGCAGGTGGCAAGAGAGCAGCTCAGTGTGAAGGCTGCCGGTCAGCATTCTGCGCACTAAAGACCCAGTGAGATGCAGCTCTGCTGTCTCTACCACGGTCAGGCTCACCACCCAGTCAGCCACAAGGCTAGTCCAGGGGAAAGTTCTGGACAAAATTGAACAAAGCATATAAAATGAAAACAAGTCCCAAATCACAGCAGATAAACACATTTGCTACAGCACAGTATGAAAAATCTGTTGTGTGTCACAAACTAAACTGTGTCTCCCACAAAATATGCATCCATTTGGCTAGGCCGTGATTCTTTGCTTTGAACAATGGAATAGTGTAATGTGGCCTTATGCACTACCTGCTTCCTGCCCTGTGTGGGCAGATGTGTTCAGAGTTAAGGGGTCTGGGGTGGGAGGCAACAGCCTGATCGAGTCCCAACTGTGATCCAATAGAAGGTGTTTCCCAGTGTACCTGCATCACCTTTACCTTACGAGAGTGAAAAGGAAAGAGGAGTGGGCAGAGAGAGGGGCCTACGATTCACCCAGCAAGAAGAGCCTGGCTGAGGAGTCGTCTTTGGACCCGGGCTCCCTGTGCTGGGCACCTCCTGGAACCGAGACACCAGAGAAAGCCTTCCTCCAGAGCAGGCACTCGGAATTCAGACTGCCAGCCCCTAGACTGAGAGGACCAACTAGCCCTAATTAGGGCCGTGTGTAACACCACCCGGCCGAGTGGCCTCCGCTGACACTGCACTAAGCACCACGGTGCTCACCCTGCCGATCTCGTGGCCATCGCAGGCATCCCGGCACACCACCTCCATGAGCGCCGCGCCGTAGCTCTCAATGATGGCGATGTTCTCTCGCTGCAGCTTACTGAACATGTCTTCAGGGGCAGTCAGCCGCTCCCACATGGTTTTCTTGGCTAAAAGGGTGGCACAGACACAAAGAAACGGCTGTTTGGTACTAGTGATCAGCCCCTCCCACAATGAAAGATGCTAACAGCAGTCCCGAGAACAGCCTTGCTCGGTGATTTTCATGATGCATCTTCTCGCCAAGAAACTCTACTTCTGGGAACTTATCTGGGGAAAACAGAGCCAGCTGTGCCCCATGTACACAGTGTAAGCCGTGCCCTGTGGACGTAGTCCTGGCTCTGTGCACTGTGGATGGTGCCCATGCCCACTGCTCGGTGGGATGGGGCCCATGGGAGAAGTCACAAAATTCTATGAGGCGATTTTCAAATGTTTGTGCGAAAATGGAATTCAAAGATGCTGTAATTTTCCCACAGAATTCGAAAGCCCCTTCATAGAGAGCAAACGAGCCATATAAGGCTGCTATTTAGCACTCTGCAGTACTCAGGTCCCAGCTTGTAAAATTGAAGACAGCTACAGAGGCAGACTCAGCCTGCCACGTCTTTCACCCACAGAGCAAGCCCTGGGCGCGAACCGCTGGCCTTTTGGTGAGCAGCTGAGCTCTTGATCACTGCGCCACCAGGGCTCCTTCGGAGTGAGAAACATGCTTCCTAGACTTCAGAGTAAATGCTGACATGGTCATGGAAAGGCGTATCGTTCCAGCTGCCTTTGGTCAATCTCTGAAAACAGAGCAACCAGGGCAGGCAGACTCTACCTGAGTCTAAGGTGTCGGGCTCATCCGGTCTCTGGGCAATCTGCAGGTAGTAGAGCAGAGAGCCATACAAGTGCGTCCTCACGCGCTGGAAGCCGCCACCTAGGAAGGGAAAACAAGGCGGGACCTTCTGCATTAATGCTGAAGTCGCTACAGAAACAGCTACGTAGAGAGAACTGAGCGGAAAGAACCTGTCTTCAAAACGAAGTCTAGCAGCTTCTTCAATATGATGTGAAGGGACGAGTCTCCAATGGAAGCGAAGCCCAGCACAGGGCTCTCGCCCGAGGGGAACACCCCGTCAGCCAGGAGCTCAAAGGGGCCCTCTCTGGGCCCCAGGACCAGCGGCTGCTTCTGTTCTGTGCGCACGGCCTGGCTGAGGTGGGCCGTCAGGGTGAACACGGCACCGGCCACTATAGGCATCAGCTCCTGGGCGGCCTCGTCGTCCAGGATCTTAGGGGAGAAGGAGAAGCTAGGGTCAGGACTCTGCCCACAGGACCATCAGTCACAGGTGTGACTGCGCCCGCAGCTCTCCACGACTGGGAGGGGTTGCGGGAGGGACTGCACTGTCGGAGAAAAAAGGCTAGCGGACAAATGTGAAAGAGACCTTGAATTGCTCATCGGTAAGTCCAGTTAAACCTGAAATGAACACAAGCCAAAATACTAGCTTGAGTCTATTCTCCACTTCAAGAACATCTCAAGGACAAATGTGATGCATTAAACAGTAAGGACAGAAGACCTGGTGCGCACTGTGGGAGGACATCAAAACATCACACAGGAAGAAAGCAAAAGGTCATTAAAATGACAAGAAAGAAAAGATCAATGTAGAGGTCAGAAGAGACTCTGAAACTTGCTCTTAGAGTGCAGCGATAGTGAATTACTGGTACTTAATGTGGCCCTTCTAGCCACATGGCCTTTCCCTGCATGAGTCTAGTGAGAAAGTGGGGAGAGACACCGGTAAGATTCACCTGTGAGAAATTGCAAACAGGATCCCCGGGAATGGCATTGTGCTGTCCGCAGCAGAACCAGGAGGCAGAAAATGGAACAAAGGGATGGGCTTTGCAACCCAGGGAGCCAGCACAGTTGAGTGCTTCAGTGCAGGAAGCTCCTTGCAGAGCAGGTGCCTTTAAACGGGAAAGTGGGACTGAGTGCCTTCAGGCAGAGGCTTTCAGAAGTGGGTGCTTCTGGGCACTTACTTCAGGGAGCTGGATTTGCTGCTCCATAGAGCTTAAGCAGAATGGCTTCCAGTTGAAGCTTACAGCAATGCAGCAACCCCCTTGGGGAATTTATAAAGAGACTGGACAGAACGCTGTAACACGTCCTAATTAACAGCCTTGAGCATTTCTCACTGGTATGACAACTGGTTAGCTTCCTTAATAAACCTTTTAATCATGCACTTTGTCTCTAAGTTGTACACAGCTAGTGCAATGGATACTAGAAACTAGCCAAGTAGCACAGAGAACCTTAATTAAGACACAACACAGTTGTGACTGTGACATTTGCTCTTAATCGTAGAGCAGCTAAGGCATGTAGAAGATGATGAAGCCAAAAGGCTGAACAGAAAATTTCAAAGGGCAGCTTGAGATGGCAAAGTCAGATATTATAATGAAATGTGCAAAGAACTAGAGTTAGAAAACACAAAAGAACACGTTCAGCATATCTTACACTGAAAGAAAACAAGTTCAAACCTCAAGTTGCAATCTTGAAAGATTCTATGGCAAAATGTTGAATGATGCAGGAAGCATCAAAAGAAGATGGGAAGAATACAATCACTGTACCAAAAAGCACTAGTCGACAGTCCACCATTTCAGGAGGTAGCATATGATCAAGGACGAAGAGCACTGAAGGAAGAAGTCTCAGGTGCACTGCAAGCAGAGCCTAAAACAAGGCTCCAATAATTGATGGAATCCCAATGGAAAGGCTTCAGCAAGCTGGTGAAGCACTGGCAACACTCACTCTATGCCAAGAAATTTAGAAGCAGCTACTTGGTCAACTACCTGTAACTATACTGCACCCGTTCCAAAGGTGATGCAACAGATAACAGCACATGCAAGTAAAATTCTGCTGGCGATCAACCAGCAATGGCTGCAACGGTACATTAACAGGAAGCTGCCAGAGGCTCCGGCTGGATTCAGAAGAGGACGTGGAACAAAGGATATAACTGCTGATGTCAGCGAGATCTTGGCTGAAATCAAAGAATACCAGAAAGAGTTTACATGTTTCATTGCCTATGCAAAAGCTTTCGACTGTGTGGATCATAACAACCTATAGCTAACCTTGAGAAGAAGGGGATTTCCAAACCACTTCATTGTGCTCATGAGGAACCTCTATAAGGATCAAGAGGCAGTCATACGAGGAGGGGAGGAATACTGAATGGTTTAAGATCAGGAAAGGTGTGTTCTAGGGTTGTATTCTTTCACCCCTCACCCTACTCATTCAATTTGTATGCTGAACAATTAATCAGAGAAGCTGGACTATGCAAAGAAGAGCATGACATCAGGATCAGAAGTCTTATTAACAACCTGCCATATGCATGACCCAACTTTGCTCGCTGAACGTGAGGAAGAATTGAGGCATCTGCTGATGAAGAGATTAACTATCGCAGCCTTCAGTGTGGATTACACTAACAACAATGTAAAGAAAGCCAACGTGCACACAACTGGACCAAGAGGTAACATCATGACAGATGATGAAAAGGTAGAAGTTGTCAAGGATTTCATCGTGTGTGGATCCACAATCAATGCTCACGGAAGCAGCAGTCAAGAGATAAAATGATGTATTATATTAAGTAACTCTGCTATACAAGACTTCTTTAAAGTGTTGAAAAGCAAGGATGTTACTTTGAGGACTGAGGTACTCCTGACCCAAGCCTTCTAATTGCTTCATATGCCTGTGAGGGTTGGACACTGAATACAGAAGACCAAAGAAGAATGGATGCATTTAAATGACAGGTGCTGGTGACAAATATTAAAGCGCCAAGGATTGCCATAAGGTCTAAGAGATCTGTCTACATACAGCCAGAGTGTGCCTTAGAGGTAAGAACAGCCAGGCGACTTCTCACATGCTTTGGGCATGATGCCAGGAGAGACCAGTCCCTGGACCACATCATGCTTGCTAAGTGGAGGGTCAAAGAAAAAGAGGGAGGCCCGGATGAGCTGGATTGGCACAGTGGCTACAACAATGAGCTCAAGTATAAGAACTGAGGATGGCACGGGTCCGGGCAGGGTTTCACTGTACTGCACATAGATAGGGTCACTAGGTGTCGGGCCTGACTCGATGTCATCTAACAAGGTGATAGTCTCAAGGAGGTGTGGCCTGTTTTCGGAACTGGGGGTCCTGTGCCCTATTTCTCTCCCATTCTACTAGAGACCGTCTCGGTGGCCACGATGATAAAGGTCAGGATGTTAGGCAAACATCATCTAGTTCGGTTTCTCAAAGACCATCTTAACATCTGCTCGACTCTTAAATCAAAATCAGCAAATCTCCATCCAGGCAGGTGGTAAGGCCTGTTGGTTTGGGTGCTATGTGAGTGTCAGCTGGCATGTGACAGAGCATGGGAAGCAGGTCACCTTATCATGTAAGTCTTGCAGGAGGTCTCGGATGATCAGCTGCCGGTCCTCGGCCTGAATGAGGTCCTGGGGACAGGCTGTCAGAATGACTTCCACCAGCTGCCTCCATGACTCCAGTGCATGGCGCTTGGCATGCAGACACTGCAGCAGCTTGTTGCGGCTCACCACATACTGGAGAATGGTGCTGATCTCCTGGGGTCAGAAACGGAAACAGCAAGTTACAAAGAGACAAACAGGGTCTTGCTGATGTCAACAGCTTCCCTGGCTCTACACTCAGAAAATACCCACGGGCCCTCTGGAAGCACACTTCGGACACAGCAGACAACATTTCCTATATGCTCTTCATCGGCCAACCTGCCGTCCTTAAGTTGATCCCAACTCTTAACAACCCTACAAGAACTGCCCCTCAGGGTTTCCAAGGCGATCATCTTTGTAAGAACTGACTGCCACATCTTAATCCTGTGGAGGGGCTGGTGGGTTAGAACTGCTGCCTTTTTGGTTAACAACCAAATATTTAACCAGTGTGCTCCTCCCCCCAAGTTCCATTCCCCTCCCCAAAAAATCCACTGCCATGGAGTCAATTCTGACTCAGAAACACTCTACACAGGGCTTCAAAAACTATGTCTCTTTTTGAGAGCAGGTACCCTTATCTTTCTCCTGCAGGGAGGCTTATGGGTTTAACTGCTTACCTTGGGACTAATTAGCAGCCCAAAGTCTCACCCACAGCACCACCAGGGCTCCTTCCAGCAATGGCCGAGGTTATGAAAAGTTATACAGAAGAATGCTCATACTTGTATGTACGTGTGTGCTGCAGGCAGGAGGCGTAGGTAGTGTGAGTGGAGATAAGTTTTGTTTTATAAAAAACACAAATTCACTGCTACTGAAGCAATTCCAACTCACAGCCACCCTATAGAACAGAGCAGAACTGCCCCCTGTGAGATTCCAAGGCCGTCAGTCTGTTCTGGGAGCACCCAAAGTCAGACATACATCCTTCAGTCCAACCAAACAACGCACTGCCATCGAGTCGATGCCGACTCAGAGGGACCCTATAGGAAAAGGCAGACCTGGGAGACTAAATCTTTACAGGAGGGAAAGTCTCGTCTTTCTCCCACAGAGCAGCTGGTAGGTTGGAACTGCTGACCTTGCAGTTAGCAGCCTAAAGCACAACCCACTACACCACCAGGGGCTCCCTCATCTTTAACTAGCCTGAAAGAAAAGGTGGGACAGACTCATTTGGTACCCCAGGTATGAACTTCAGTTGCACTTATCAAAACAATAAAGTCAAAAAGTCAAGAGTGTCCATTCCACTTTCAATTTCAACCAGCTCACTAATAAAGGAACGGCAAGTCGGTGTGCTGGTGCGTCCTTGGCCGGAGACAGCGCACGCTCAGCGGAGCTTACCTCCATCAGGAGAGGCCTCTGTCCTATGGCGGCCATGCCCTGAAGGGCATTGACTTCAGCGATCAGAACCTTGTGAAGCAGCTAGAGGAAAGAGAGAGGTAGAACCACTTCAGATATGGGCAGTGTAGCACAAGGCTGGAGAAGGCTTGACAGGGAACTTCACAAGGGCACTGCCCGATGTCAACACCAGGAAAGTGAGTGCAAGGACTCCAGGCAGCTTCTTCCTACTGGGGGGAGGGAGGGTGGCACAACCACTGATCAGGGACAGTGAAAATGCCCACAGGGCTAGCTGGGCAGGAGGACCATAAAGAGGAGGGGTGCAAACTTTCAACAAAGTCAGGCTCGCCCAGCCTGTTTGCCAAAGTCTGACAAGTGAGCAACCAGAACCTCCCGACAGCAGATGACTGACTGACTGGCGAGGCTTTCTTCTTTTTATTCTTTCTAGTGACTCAAAGTCTGCACCCCAGGCCACCAGATACTCGAAAGCTCCCTCACCTTCACATTGCAGACTGTCTGTCCCCGTAAGTTCTTGTGCTCACAGTTAGCAATGACCTGCTCGATCTGGGCCCGATCAAAGAAGTCCAGCTGCAAAGGCTCGGGGATCTCCTGGCTGAAGTCAATGGAATCGAGGATGCTGAGAATTTTTCGTCGGACTAGAAGACAAAGGGGAGGAATTCCCTTTCACTTCAGGGAGTTGAGGAGGCGGAGACCATACTGACAATGGCAGTGGAGTTCAGCTCTCACACACCTGGGTGCCAGAATGCCCTCCATCCAGCATCCGTGTGGCTAAAACAATCACATGATGAGAATGGGCTCGGGTGGAATGACAATGCTGTACAGTCTATTCATCCGGCTCGGACGCTGTGGGCCCAGGAATCGCCACTGCCCTGGTGTTTTACAGGTGAGTTCACATGTAACTTCGCAAACACAGATTACAAATCCAGGGGGCAGTACCTTTTGTCGTCGTGTCAAAGTGCAGGAACCCCGAGATGGACCTGTTTTCATCTTCCATGCCGCCTTCCGCATCTGGGGAACACCAGAAAAAAGGGATCAGGAAGAGAAGTGATTCATACAGCTACACAGATCAGAAAATAACAACCCAAGACATGTCCTTTCTAGGCTGATGCTTCTGGGTCAAGGAGCCCTTTCCAAATGGCTAACTACAATGCCAAAGCTCATGTGGGTTGTCTCCCTACATTCCCTGAATTGACTTCTCTATAAAACCCACATCATAACTGTAGAGAGGCTAATCAGAACTCTAAAGCAGAGGCAAGGCCTAATCACGCCAATGAGATGATTTACAAAGCCTGTGCCTAATTTGCATGCATGAGTCATATTGGACTCATATAGCCTTGGGGAGGCTGGCTAGTGTGACCAACACCACTGGACATTTTGTGTGCATGACTATCACATAATATGGATGTCTGAAAGAATCGTTAAATGACTATCAGATGACATTCAAGTATTGTACTTTAAGGGAAAAGATTCTAAAGGCAAACAGAACCGTTTGGGGCCAGGCATGTACTCGGACCCAAGCGTCGTCATGTGGGCCTGGCGCTGCACAGGAAAGCAGAAACCAACAGTCAGTCCCTGGGGGTTCAGGCCCGTCGTGTCAGGGACACCAAGACCAACTGACATAACACAGTCAGTCCGCAAGGCATTTTCCGACATCCCCCTATGGTTCACAGGGACTGCGGTCATAAACGCTTGCAAGCAGCCATGGACAGTGCTCCTGGTCCTGAGCAGAGAAGGGCACATGGACACATGGAAACAATTAGTTATCATTGGACACATGGAAACAATTAATTATCATTACTGGGCCAGGTGAGCCACCACCTCATGAGCCTGAGCCCAGAAGGACAAGACGGCGTCCAACTAGCACTGCTGACCCTGCTCCCAGAGGACTCACAATAGAAGGTCCTGGATAGAGTGAAAGAAAAACATGGAACAAAACTCAAAATTGTTCAAAAAGAACGGCCTCCCTGGCCTAACCGACGGTGGAAACCCCGGAGACTCAGGCTCTCAGTGGTCACCCGTGCGTCTGACGAGGAGAGACGGGCCTGAAGGGGAGCGACAGCAGCAGGATGTAGGCACACGCTGCTGAGAACCACCAGCTCGGGACAAGGCTCAGGAGCAGGACAGAGCAGGAAAGAAGGGTGGAGGTAGCTTAACGGTAAACACGTGAGGGATGGGTGGAGAGCCAGCTTGCTCCGTGACCCAGGGCGCCCGCTTACCCGAGTATGGTTTCACTGGCATGTCGTCCAGCAGCAGGTGCAGGAGCCTCTGGGTATGGGACCGCTGACGATTCAGGGACGTAACCCTTAGCTCAATGGACGCGGTCTTCATCAGCCAGGACATTTGGTTCAGCATGGAGATCTCATGGTCTGGAAGGTAAGGGCATCAGTCAGGGCTACAGGGTAGCCACACCTTAGCAGAACAGACCTCGCCCTCCTGAGCTCATCCTCCGAGCGTCACCCAGTGCACCTAGTCAATGAGGACACCTGGCAGCACAGGGATCTGTCGCTCTACACACATCCCACACAGGAAAAACAAAGGCTTACACAAGATGAGCTAGAGCAAATGAAGGAAACAGATAAGTCAAGTTTTCACTCCCGAGATAACTTCACCCAGATGCACACATCTGTGAGTCTGTGGATTTTAACTAACATGAATACAGAGCCTGAGACTTTTCCAAAGATGCATAATTCCCAAATACATCAACTTGTGTGAAGAGTCTCCTCCCTTGATTTGATTTTCACAAAATAAATGCATTAAACTAAATTGGATAAACTGGTATTATCTTCAGGTAAAGGCATCTAGTTAAGGGTAGGAGTCACTGGTGTATAAGGAGACTTTCAATCCATTGCCACAATAATATCCCTAGTCCAAGTTCTAAACTGTGATAGCAAACAATAAAACCCATCAAATAACACTAATACCAATACAACCCCTACTGCCAACAGGCAAAGCAAGAATGTTTTTGGAAAAGATAACATAATTGGAAAGGTATTAGTTTTTCTTTTTAATGAGTTGGACATAAAGCACCTCATATGTAGACAAACTAAAACACACGGTGTGAAATGAAGCGAAAATTTTCATGCCCTCTCATGCATCGACCACACAGCAACCTGGAAGCTGACAGCTACTGGCTCTGAGAATTTCCTATGAGATCGGGGTGCCTAGGTTTCCAAAACATAGAGATGCGACAAAGTGAAGGTTTCAAAAACAGAGCAGACCACCACTAGCTGGCTATAATCCAAACTTAAAAGCCGTTAAAAAGCAATCCAGAGAGACAAGTACAAGGAGAGCAGATACTGGGCCAACAGAGTGCCTGGGATGACAGTGCTAGTCTGTCAACAAACGACAGAATCAACGATCCCACCACTGGGTCAAGCCTTCTACTATTTATTAGAAAACCTAGACTGTCTTTGGCATGTACACAGACATAGGTTTGCAGAACCATTTTCATTCGTGATTCTACATTTCCAGAACTTTCTTGTCCTTGTCACGTAACCTTCAATTTTCATCTGTCAGTGAGAGATCAAACTCCACCCTTGGCAGACTGTGTTTCACTAAGTGGAAACTGACAGCTAAGACATCAAGTATCTCAAAAACATACAACAAAGGTCACCCTGGGTGATAGAGCAGCAAAGCGGGGCTCAAGGGAAGCCAACGATCCCCTAATCCCCCAAAGGGTGTATAAATAAATAACATCACTCAACATGGGCTAGGAAATGTGTTATAATCATAAGGGGAGCCAATGAGCCTACCTCTGCAGGAAAAAGGTAGATGTTGCAGTTGTGAGAATAAGAAATCCTGGCTGGTTCTCAGGTACCTCATGGTGGGGCCCGACGTCTCAGAGCAGGCGCACAGCTGATAGATGACCTAGGAAAACAGTCACCCTCGCAAGTCAGTCCACTCAGTTTGGACTTAGATGGGCTAACTGGATCTACTAAGACCCAGCAACAGCTTAGATGAATACATGGTAAAATGTAAGCTCGGAATTGTATGCAGTCCCTGCAACCCCTAACTCAAGGAAATGTTCTGGAATACAAATGAGATCGCTGATAACATTATAAGACTAACCTCCAAACTGTTCTGAAAACATTCTCTTTCAGATGCACATATACATATATGAGGGGGGTACCCCTCAAAAAAAAAAAAAGGAACAGAAAAGAGCTTTCACGGTGTCCATTTTTCCAGCTAGGCGAGCAGCACCAAGCAACTCACTCTGAGTTAGTGCACCCACTGGTGTCACCTGGGAAGGTTCTCTCTGGTCACAGTGAATTTTTTAGTGAAAGTAGTTTTGCTCACACCTCATTTTTCACGATGGCAGATTTAAGAGAACAGTGTGGGGCTGTGAAATTCTTTTTCCTGCTCGGGAAAAATGCTGCAGAAACTGTTGTGAGGTTGAAGACAGCTTACAAGGACAGCATTATGGGAAAAACTCAAGTGTAGGAGTGGTTTCCTCATTTCATAAGAGGTGAGATGTTGATTGATGACAAATGTCATTCGGACATCCATCAACTTCCTGAACGGACAAAAATGTCAACAAAATTAGTGCACTTGTGCTTGAAGACCAACTATGACAACGATGGAGCACTGAAGAGATGGGGGAGTAATCTGGACTATCCTGGAACTCAGTTCAGCGAATTTTAACAGAAGATTTGGGATTGAGAAGGGCCACTGAGAAATTCGTGTCTCGGATTTTCACTGATCAGCAAAAAGAACGATGAGTGGAAACATGCCGTGCTTTGAAAGAACAGCTCCGAAGTGACCCAGACTTTTCTTCCAAGGTCCTTACTGGAGACGAGTCATGGTGCTATTCTTACGACCCTGAAAGCAAACATCAATCAAGCCAGTGGAAGACTCCATCGTTGTCCAAGTGAAATCAAAGATCAAGACGTTGCTCATTTGTTTTTTTGATGTGAGGGGGATAGTGCATTTGGAGTTCGTTCCACCAGGTCAGACTGTTAATCAAACTTACTATTTAAGGGTTCTGAAAAGATTGGGTAATAGTGTGCAACAAAAAAGACCTGATTTGTGATAAGGCACCTGCTCACACAGCCATCTCGGTGGCCGTTTTTGGCAAAAACAAACAAACAGCATGCCTCTGTTGTCCTATGCATCTTACTCACCTGACCTTGCACCCTGTAACTTCTTTTTGTTTCTACAAATGCAGAGGGACTTGAAAGGACAATGATTTAACAACACAGAAGAGGTGAAGAAAAAAATGAGGGAGGTACTGTTCAGCCATCCAAACACGATTGAAAATGTTTCCACCAAAAAAAGAAAAATGTTTCCACCAATGGCATCACAGATTTGACAAATGCATTACATGTAATGGAGAGTGATTTGAAGGTGATACGGTTGTCTTGTAAAACAATTTAAATACATAGCTTTGGAGTGGAGGGGGAATTCCAGTTATTTTGGGGTACCCTCTTGTAATTAAAATGTTTTAGCATCTTTAACCACTACGGGGTAACCTGGAATTAACTTCTGAGGATCTGAGGTAACCTGGTATCAGGAGAATGATAAATTCAGCGGTTGAAGCCATCATTGAAATAAAAAGGATGGAGGAATAGTGGTTGCACATTGGGCTACAACCCACAAGATCAGCAGTTCAACACCATCAGCTGCGCTGAGGAATGACTTCATCCACCAAGACTGACAGTCTGGGAATCCCACAAGGAGCAGTTCTACCCTGCCCTCCAGGGTCGCTGAGTCAGCATCAACGCGATGGCAGTGAGTTTGAGCATCTGGCAAAGTGAAGCTGAAAGTTCCGTCCACCAGTGACTCAGGAACTAAGCATGCTCAAAGTCACCTAGGGGGCACTGTTGGGTAAGCACAGGGCTGGGGGGTTCAGATCGGTGGCAGAAAGATAAGGCCAACTGCTCCCCTCAAAAATCCAGATCCTCCTACCTACCCCCCACCCCCGGCCTTCCAGGGGACAAACAATAGAAACAGTGGAGAAAGGGAGACAGTAGTCAGTGAAAGATTATGAAAATAATAACCATTTATAATTTATCAAGGGTGGAGGGGACTGATACCAAGGGCGCAATATTTAACGTAATGTCTAGAAAATGACGATGGCAACATATGTACAAATATGTTTGGTATGATTGATGTATAGATTGTTATAAGAGCTGTAAGAGTCCCAATAAAATGATCTTTAATTAAAAAAATGAATCCAGATTCCCAACTCACCCTTAAAAACCCGAAAAACCCAGAGGACCTGGCGAAGCTCAAAGCTGAACCTGAAGGCTGAAAGGGTTCCCTTTCCCCAGCTGGCCAGCTTCTCCTCCCGGCCCCCGCTCCCTTGGGACCCCAGCTTGGCTTTGCTCCCTCACTGCCCCTGCCTAGCTAACATGATTGAGCCTCCCAATCACAGCAAGCTCGATGGATCCAGTCTATAGCTCAGCACTACACTGCACTTCAGGGCTGACCTGCACTGAGGAGGAGCTGACACGGGGCACCACAAACCGTCAGGGGCTATGTGGACAGCTGGGGACAGAGTGACAGAGAAAACAGAAAGCCAGGGGAGGTGACCCAACCACAAGCAGTGACAGCCGAGTTTCTGACACAGAAACGGGAATTGGACACCACTTTCTAAAAGGAGACCTTTGTCATAGCTCATAAAGCATCAAACCCAAACCCATGGCCATCGAGTCCACTGCGACGCACAGAGGGCCTGCAGGGCAGAGTAGAGCTAACCACCCCACAGGGTTTCTGAGGCTCTAAGTCTTCACAGAGTAGAAAGCCTCATCTTTCTCCAGCAGAACAGCAGGTGGGCTCAAACAGCCAGCCTATGGGTGTGGCCCAGAAATGCTTAACCCATGGTGCTACCACTGCTTCTGTTATAAAGTACTTATAAAGTTAGTAACAATGAATTCTCATCTCTGAGTAATACAACTGTCCTCATTCAGGATTACACTTTACAGTAGTTTGACTTTCTACCTCCTTAGAGAGTGCTGAGTGTGCGAGTTCTTACAGGTGTGTTCACTTGGCTAAGCCTTTAAGCCCATGACAGCCTCCCTCACAGCCCACACAGTGGGGACTCAGAATTTCAGAGTGAGCCTGCGAGGGACTGGGGGCCCGGACCTGGCTACTTAAGGGGCAGAGGCAAAACCCAGAGGTCTCTGACCCAAACCCACTGCTTTCTCCACCAAAATGCCACCCGACCTGTCAAAACCCCACTGTTCTCAGTTTCCAAGTGAAGAACTAAGAAGTTAAGAAAGCCTTTGACTCTGGGTTCTTGGGGTTTTTGCCTTGTGGATTTTATCTATAAACAGAACACTGCTCAAACAACTCCGTGAGCTCCCTTCTGCTCCTGATCCCAAGCAGACCAGCCGCCCACCCGTTACCTGGTAACACAGCTCAGCGAGGTGAGGGGACTCCCTCACAGCCACAGGACCGCTTCTCCCCTCGGTGCCCTTCTCCAGGATGTTCAAGATGGCGTGGAGGCACGTCCGTGGGCAGCCTAGCACCCCTGCACACCAGAAATAATGACATTCAACTTTGGGTCAGAGTGTGTCTACAGGAACAACCATTCAGAACGGCCTTTCACAAACAGTACCTTCTGCAAACCCATAAAGCCCCTTTCGATTGCTGATCCTGTCCTTAAGGTGGGTCAGCAGTTCTCAACCTGTGGGTCCAGACCCCTTTGGGGGTCGAAGGATCCTTTCACAGAGGTCATCCGATTCATAACAGTATCAAAATTACGTGATGAAGTAGCAACGAAAATTATTGTTATGGTTTGGGGGGTCACCACCACACGAGGAACTGTATTAAAGGGTCGCAGCATTAAGAAGGTTGAACACCGCTGCTCTACCTCCTCAACGTGGACCACCAGATCTCCTTTCAGACAGCTTTCCTGCTTTTAGTCAGCTATCCTGTGAGCCACAGGTCATTGCCCCACCATTCAAATCCCCGTGCAGAGATGGCTGTTTCTCAATAGCCACACCTGGGTCTTGCAGGTTTGTGGTGGCGACGGGTTTCTTTAACTCAAAGCCCAGCAGGTAGAGGGCAAGGTTGGGTGGGTTACGCTCCAGAGAGGTGATGAGGAGATTCAGGATGTGGATTCTTGTTTCGTGACGGATGATGGCGACTTTCTTTTCTGATTCTGACCCTGAATTTGGAAACCATACATCAAAATGATAAAACAAGATAATGCCAGTAGAAGCCAACATTTAAAGTATGAAAACTTTCATTCCAAATTCCACATGTGGTTTTTTTCTTTTTCATTTTAGTTTACATCATTAGTCTTTACACTGATTTCAGATTTGTTCCAAAGACGTTTCCCCAAAGCATTACACATTTACTCTAGCACAGGAGAGCTCAGGGAGGGTTTCCCTCACAGTTAAGTTTCGTGCAGCGTGAAAGCATCGGCACGGGAATACTGTAAGGCCTACCCTCTTCTGGCCGTACAAGATCTTCTGTGTCTTCACTATCCAAACACTCCACAAATCCAGCCATCAGCTTCTGACTTACACTCTGAAGTCACAAACAGAGAATGACAAATTATGACGTTTGTAAGCCGTAGCAAGAAAATGAACAGAATGATACACAGCGATAAACTCAGACCTCTAAAAAGGCACATCTGCTCCCAGTAACGTACGTAATAGGGTTTGGGTATTATTTTAAAAGGACTGGGGAAAGCAGTTCCTTACATTCCCATCCATTAGTGCTATATAGAAAAGGTAAAAATTTTTTTTAAATCCCATTTTTGGTTTAAAATCGTGTGCCCCTTAAATCTCCTCCCTGAAAGTTCAACTATTTTCAACTCAGCCTGAAACTGCTGCTCCACAGCCTCTCTGTCAGCTGCTCACGTCCTGGGGCTCAACTGAGCGTCACACAAAATCCTCATCCTTCTTCCTCTGAAATGTGCCACTTATCACCAGTGGGCGATTTCTGGACAGAGATTGGAGATGCCTCGTATTCTTTCAGAAGTCTAGCTGGATGTTAAAATTGGTACTTATAACACATGAAGGTGAATGGAGGTGAAGTGGAAACCTTCCACTGCACTCAGCACTTGACTATGGCGTGGGCAAAAAAACAGCCACAAGTGAGCCAGATCCAGACACAGTGATCAACAAGTGGTTCTCAACCAGCACCCCAGAGGGGGCCTGGAAAACCTGGGGTCAGGGTGCTCCTGACAGGAGGGGGCCACTGTGAAGTTTCAAGACAGGAAGCAGGGGACCAAGGCTGTTGAGAGTCCGAAAGTGAGAGACAGCTATATACAAACTGAAGATCTATCCTGTTCAGCGGGCCCCAACAGTCCCCATTTACAAACGCTAGCAGCGTGAACAAGGAAGACCTTCCAATGGCCTGGGCAGTGCTTCCCAGCCCAGAGGGACCGAGGACGCTAACTCATAACAGCCCCGCCCTCCTGAGCTGTGTTTCCTCGGCATGGACCCTGGTGCAGGACCTGCCCTTACTCTCCGCTTGTTTTGACACAAAACAAGAACTTGGTTCCTCCGTAAGCACTGGGGCTTGTATCCGCTCAGAATGCACCAAACCACTAGCTCACCCACCTGGTCGTGTGTGAAGTCGCCAACCAACTTTATCTGAATGTTGGAGTTGCAAGAGATGCAGCAGAGGATCTTGGCGCTCTCAAACGCCAGCTCGGGGCTAGTGTTGCCGTGATAGAGGCACCTGGAAAACGCCCAAGAACTGGGTGAGCAAGCGCGCAGGCCAGCCACTGCCTAAGTCAAGTTTTGCGATGAATCAGAAAACAGCACCCCTTGTGGCAACGTGGCCAGAGCACAGCTGCTCGGCTGCATTGCAGCCCCACTCTGACCACCCCCAGACCCCAAACCAGACCCCATATCAGGCACTGGACATGAAAGTCGCAGGCCCCACCCACCCACCGTGAGCATTCCTGCCTCTGCTGGCGCAGCTCACCTGGCGATGTTCACCACATTGTCCGTCTTCTTCGTCCTGGGGTTGATGCCCTGTAAAAGCTGCTCCAGCGGGGAGACAATCAGGGCCAGCTGGCTCTCTCGGAGCAAGTCCATGAAGAGGTTCTCCTTCTGCAGAGTAAGATCCAGCAGAGCCAGGCAGTACTGCACGGCTTTCTCCAGGTGCTTCCTCCCTGGACGACAAGAACAGAGGAAGGTGGCCCAATGTCAGCTAAGACACATACAGGCAACTCTTGGGGCAGCAAGACCAGGGCACAAGTCCTAGTTCCAAAGGGTGGTCAGCTTGTCAAACTTTGGGGAAGAACTTCACAAAAGAGGCCTTTTGTGGACCACATGACGGTTTCTCCAGTCCTTTCTCCTTAGCTCTTCCCTGGTCATTTAAAGCCGTGGTTCTCAACTAGGGGGAGATTTTGGAGGTAGGGAGCTATCACACATGGGAAGTGTGCCTGGCATCTCGGAGCAGATTGACAATGCCCAGGAGGGCACCCCCAATGTGGGGTCCTGCAGCCCCCAGCACCAGGAGCCCTGACTGTGGGCAGGTACAGAAACTACAAACAAGAGTTGCTGACAATCTTCCATCCACGTTTCACACACTAGCCCGTTTCTTCCCAGCTCCCAATGAGGACATTCAGGTCACAGAGCTGCCCTTTGCATTTACTGTGCAGTCACTGTGAGAGGAGGAAAGAAGCCTGAGGACTCGGGGTCAAGCTGTCAGTTCAAGTCACAGCCCGGCATCTTACTGGTCAACGGTGTGTATGTGTGTCGCCTCCGAAGGAGGCCGTCAAGCCCACCAAATGGCGCTTCTTTGCAGACCCAGTCCAGAGGCCAGGTGCCTAGTGAACACTCAAGTCAACAGAGGGCCTACACTTGGGAACAATAATACTTAAAAAAAAAAAAGAAAAACCTCACTGGCCACTTACTATGGTAAAACGGAGAGAGCATTTACTAATAAAGCTGGGCCTGAGGAAGTAAGAGAATGAGAATTGCCACAGGAGAGCCTGGTTAAGAGAGGGCCCCATGGGGCCTGCGCCACTGCCGTTAGCCTGCCCTCACTCACAGGCCAGAAGCCACGTGTGACTCAGTGTGTGGCTCCCTGAACGCATGGTTGCAGGTGCAGGGCCTCACCAGGGACAAGAACTTCCCGCAGCACCTACCGTAATCCTTCCTCCAGTCTCAGAAGACCAAGCTCTCGAGGGCTCGCCCAACACGAAGGGAGCATGGCACCTACCGGGGAACGGGGCATAGGTGTCCAGCTGCTTCACGCCTTCCTCCAGCAGACTCAGGGCCAGCTCCAACATCGGCGACTCGTTCAGGAGGTGGTACATCAGACTGAAGCCGGGGGGCTTGTAGGCTATGATTTCTTCTCCTACGCAGAGCAGAGCAGAACACAGCGCGGGGAGGGTGGAGTGCACTTCTATCACACCCTCGGTGTGCATAAAGCATGTGAGATTTCTATACGGCATGTACACACAGGGGAGCAGGCTTCAATTTAGACACAAGGACACCAACCCACAGAGTGGCTGGCCCCACGATGCTAGGCTCCGCTACAGGCTAGCTCGTTCGCGAGGCTACCCAAGAGTGCCCCTGTCTTTTCGGTCAGTCACATTTCATTTCATTGTCTCGACAGAGACAATGAAAACAATGTCACCCGCCCGATTACATTCTAATTGCGTACTTTGTACACAGCTGGCACCTTGTGTGACCAGACAGAATCCAATTACCTTGCAGTTCCACAAACTGGTCCACAAAATCTTCGAGCTGAGGCTCATAGTCTCTGAGCAGTTTATAAAACACCTCCAGAACCACCTCGGCCACTTCCCACTAGAGGGAAACACAGACAGGTCAGAGACGGGTGTTCTCGTCCCCCCAAAATCAAACCGAGTCCCTCGGACCTGGAGTAACTTAGACAACATGATTCAAATAAAATTTTCTAAGTACAACCTTCAGGAAAGCACGAACTCCTCCTCCACATTTCTAATGCTGCTATTTGGGCTTCATTAGCCACTGTAAAACAGGTGGTTGTTTTTAACCACAAGATCAGTGGTTTGAAACCACCACCTGCTCTGGGGAAGAAAGGTGAGACTTTCTGCTCCCAGATGTAAAATTCGTCTCAGGAAACCTACAGGGGCAGTTCTGCTCTGTGCTACAGGGTGGCTATCAGTCAGAATCGACTCGATGGCAGTGAGGTTGGTTTGGGGTTCATATTTAACACACAATAAAACAACACCTAATGCAAGCCATTCTCTCGACTGTGGAACAGCCCACATTCTCTGGAAAGAACATGAGCTTGCCATTGAACCTCTCTCCCCTTATTTCACAGGTCAAGTCAGCGACACTCAGAGCAGATCTCAGGACCTGGCCCCCAGACATTCTTTGGCTGTTGCCCTAGGTGTGAAACAGACACAGGCCAAGAGGGAGCACCCCAAATGACCACACAGCACCTTTCTCAGAAAGTACTTCAAAGCTGTGTAACAAGAAGGGAAATTATTTATGCTGAAGGAAAAATAAAGGCCAAGGGCTTCAAAAAGTTCGAGGAAACCTGGCATTAGAAGATAATGGACTTTTCTCATGAACTTCTTGAAGCCCCCTCAGTAATCTACACATACAGGAACGAGAATGGTGTATATGTTAGTCAGCCTGGTGTATATGTTAGTCAGCCTGGGCTTGGTAACTGGGTACGATTTAACAACTGTTACTGTCCCTGCATATGGGATCTCTGATGGTGTAGTGGTTCCGAGTTGGGCTGCGATCATCGCCTGATCAGCAGTTTAAAACCACTAGCCACTCCAAGGGAGAAAGACTGGGCTTTCTACTCCTGTAAATAGTCTCAGAAACCCACAGGGGGTCACTATGAGTCAGCACTGAGTTTGGGTTTTGTTTTTTTGGGCGTACTGTTTGTTATTGTTTTGTTTGGGGGGGGGGAGCATTGCCCCTGCACACAGTTCAATTAAGGATGAATTTGGGAATTGAGATAACTGGCTGGCTTCTTAAATTATTGTGATTTCAAAATTATTCCCCTTTTCTATAACTTCCAGAGTCACCCAGTAATTTTTTTTTAAGAATAGACACAGCTGCCGATAGTGCTATTAGGTTTGATGAACACATGCCTGTTACTCTTCGTTCCGCCCGTTTCTCAGTGCAAGGCTCTGCCTGTGGTGAGCAGCACGGGCTCCTGCACACAGACTAAGCCTCTAGAGGACTCATCAGTGAGATAAGTACACAAAGTCCACGGGGCTTGTTAGAGGGTCAGTAGGTACGGTCGTGGTTACCAACAGTTCAGCTGCTAACCTCAAGGTCGGCAGTTCAAATCCCCCAGTCACTCTGGGAGAAAGACCAAGCTTTTTGCTCCCAGAAACCTACAGGGGCAGTTCTATCCTGTCCTGTAGGGTCCTTATGGGTTGGCATCAACTCAATGGCAGTGATTTGTGGTGGTACTGAGAAGAACGGTGGCCCAGGAAGCGAGCACCCCTTGATCGTATGGATTCAGACCTGCAGAGAAGGTGGCCAATAAGTCCTGAACATTTGGGTCACAATGACCTCTTTTAAGAAAGGGGGGGAGGGCACTGCAGACAAGCAATAAAGCAGCACCAGGAAGAAACACAGCAGAACGCTCTGCTGAGGCAGCACAGCAAGACTCAGGGCTGCTAGGCCGCTGTGGTATTTCCAGCCAACCACACAGCACGCTCACAAGTCCTGCAAGGCTTAAACAGAATGTCTCCCACTCCTGGGGTTACTTCTGCAACACGGGGGACACACTTTCCAGCAATTGGCCAAGAATGAACTTCCCTTTTCTGAGGCTAATTAGTATGCAGCCACTTGAACTGCTTTCAAAGGATCTCTAATGCCATGAGAAAGAAAGGATCTCATGATACTACCTTAAGTGGCAAAAAAAAAAGATTACAAATTAATACAGGTGATTATCACAATGTCACTGACCTGGACCAATAGAGGAAAAGGACTAAGGATAGTCCACCTTTGGCCAAAGGATTATGGGTTATAGAAGTTCTCTATTTTCTATTCTAGATTTTCTTAATTGCCCCAATTCAGCACCAACTAAATGATTTTTGATCATCAGTGACAAACACACACACACAAAATACCCCCAACAGGCTCAAAAATTTTTAAAAAGGGCAATAAAACTCCTATATCCACCCATGTGTATCCAGTCAGGCAATAAGTCAGTCATGTAAAGTACAGTGAATTAATTACGGCAGAACCTGAAAAGTCTCTTACAGAGCTTACTGGTTATGAGCATGGATCTAGAATCTCAGAGTCCTAGGTTCAAATCCTGGTCCTGGACCTTAGACAATGTCCTTAGCCTTGCATAGCCTCATCTGTAACATGGGAAGACTAACAATGCCTGCCTCACAGTACTCGAGGCATGATGTGAGATGACAACTATAAGCTTGGGTGGGTACCTTCCAACCAGACCAAGCTGCACTGAGAGACGATGGGCCCTCAGTCTCAGCCTCTGAGCCCAGGAAGACCTGCTAACATACCACAGGCCCCAGGCCCCGGCTCCACAGCCCAGAAGGAACACAAAAACTCGGGTTCAGGTTTCCCCTCATGTCCACCTCTAGGCCCAATGAAGGAAGTACACTTCCACCACCCAATTTGACCTTTTTGGTTCCATGTGGCCAAACGTTCTTCAATGAAAGCTCTCAAGTAGTGGTTCTCAGCTTGTGGGTCATGACCCCTTTGGAGTTCGAATGACCCTTTCACAGGGGTCACCTAATACATCCTGCATATCAGAAACGTATTTACATTACAATTCATAACAATAGCAAAATTACAGTGATGAAGTAGCAATGAAAATAACTTTATGGTTGGGGGTCACCACAACATGAGGAACTGTAGGAAAGGGTCACAGCAGTAGGAAGGTTGAGAACCACTGCTCTAAATGGTAGCACATTCCTCCCAACTGAAGAGTCAGCTCTGGCTCTAGGGCCCCAGCTTCTCTGCTAATGCACGGGGCTGTTACAGAATCCCCAGGTGAATTTTACCAGCTTTTGGAGGACAAGAGATGTGGTTTGCTGGGGACACCACCTTTTCAGCTGCTCTCCGGTAAGCCCTTGTGCGGAATCGCAGGAACACGGAATCTCGAAGGAACTGCAGGTAAGGGTCGAAGCCCGGGGGCCGAAGGCCCGCCCCCAGGTTCGAAGGGAAGGAGCTCTCCACCAAGGTGCTGATCAGCTGGCAGAAGGCCCGCGTCAGGGGGTACTCCTCACACCGGGACTCTATTTCGTTCAGTTCAACCTTCCAAAGACACAGACAGAGAAGTCGGTCAGATGAAATGGTTCGGCCGCCACGGCTGGCATTTAACACACAGGCTCCCACTGACACAGCCACCAAAGTACAGTCCCGAGAGACGCATGGCAGAGAGCGCCATTGTTCATCGAGGAACAGGCCCCAAAGTACTGTGTGACTGTATCAGTCACGTGGGAAATGTTCAAAGTCCCGCCTGCTGTTGGCAAAGTCGGATGAAGAACAGAAACCCTGAAGGCTGTTTTCCAGAGGGAAGAAAAGGGAAGCGAGAGCTGGACATTCCGGTTCCGGCTGCCCCCAAGTGACCTCATTACAGGGAGCACCAACGGAGGGCACTCGATTGGGAGTCTGCCATGGAACATTCTTTACCGGCTCAGAAACCCCTCAGTATTTTGTTCTCTTCACTGAGTGAAGGCTTCCTCTGAATCTCAACACAGACCAGAAAACCCTCCAGTGAAGAGAAATTCCCCTGGAAAATTACAGCCAGGAAACAGGGTCGGAATGATTTTTCTTCATCTCTTTAGCACTACATGACCGCAGGGACACAGTGCTTAGACAGAAAAGGGAACTCTACCTCGATACCGATGGCTTGTCTCTGGCTGGGCACCCTCACCGTCTGCAGGATCTGAAAGAAGGCGGTGGTGGCATCAGGAGCGCTCCTCACTCAGCATGGAGAGCAGGGACTTTTCAACACAGCCATCACCACCGCACCCACCTTGCCCGCTAGTAATCCCACGAGAGAGCCCAGCTGCTCCAGCCACTCCACACACAGGAAGCAACTATGACCTCAAGCCCCAACTTCCAAGCACACAGTGATCTCCCGCCACAACCCTACCTGTGTGTACTCCAGGGACTGCCAGAGGGAAGCAGCGATCTCCGGAGACTTCCCAAAAGCCGCCAGCGTCTTCAGAAGTTCAGCCTTCAGGACGGGGGGGATGCTGCACTGCAGAAGGCCCAGAATCACCACCACCGGCGTCCACTGGGGGTGCTCACAGAGGGCCAGCCGGGCATTCTCGCTCTGAGGACCACAAAAGACAGGGAGCGCTCACAACATGGAGTGTGGCCCTTGTGCCAAGCTCAACCTTGCCGGGCTGGCACACACTGGACCAGAGGCCCGTCCATGGAGGGGAGCCGCACACTGCCACCGGGCAGAGCAGAGGAGAGGGAGACTCTACAGAACTCTTCTCCAGTACAGACACAGAGAGAGAGAAAGAGAGAGAGAGGGTCTGCCAGAGCCACAGAAATCTCACTGTGCATTTTAAGTCATTCATGGAATCACATGAGAGACTGCATAGTAATATACCAGATAAATTACCACTTCGACCTTTACTGGGGGAGTGGAGGTGGGGTGTGGTCATCAAGTATCTGTGGATTCAAATTCAAGGAAAATCATAACTAATTTTATGTTCACAGCTGCATGACTGAACATTATTAGGAACTCCCTAGCCTGCAGAGGAATGTCAGCGTAGGCAACGGAGCTTTCCAGTGGATAACGGAAGCTCTACAAGAGATTTCTGAGCAGGGGCATTCTGCAACATGAGTGGAGTGTTTACACAAACTAATTCGGTGGTGTCAGGTAAGATCGTCTGGTTAGGAGACACGTACATACACAGTAGAAACCCTTCTAGGAGTATGCGCACGCATGAGCCATTCTCTCATTGACCTTTCTCTTTTCTCTCGGGCGTTAGCTATTATTTTCAAAGCTCAGCTTGTGACAAGAAGCCAGACTACTATGGCTTATCTTCTACAAGTCAAGATAACAAGGAGGAGAAGCACACAACGCTAGGTAGAAGCTAAATGTAATAAATTTTAAGCATGAAGACAAAATTGAGGGCTTCGTTAAGATGGCCCTGGGCTAGAAATAAGGTGCCCTTCGCCTGTAGAGTCTTTTGGAGGCGGGGGTCACCTACCCACGTAATGATGGTGGACGTCAGCTGCAGGAAGGCAATCAAGCCGTCCTGCTCCTTCTGGGTGATGCCGCGGGAGGGCAGGTGGCGGTACTGGATGCTGTCGGCACTGGGCAGGTCCCTGCGGAGGTGCTCATGGTACAGCATCAAGGAGTGGAAGAAATGTTCCCAGGACACAGGGCTGCCACCAGCCCCCTGGATGTTTTCAACTGCAAAGAAGCAACACAACATTGTAGTTTGGTTTCCAAAGTTGCCTGGAAACAGGAGAGGACACGAGGTGACAGCTATACGCTGGTTTTGCTAGCCCACAAGATGCAGCTTGACGGCATCTCTGATTCACTTATGCCTCACCTTCAACCAATGTAAGAGAGCTGAGCTGCAGTGGGAGCTGCGCTGCTGGTGGGCTGTGGTCGCTGCAGGCCTATTCCTAACTAAGGCAGGCTTCAGGGTACCAGGGGGACACCTTGCCTAGGTAGGCAGTGCGTAGAAAGCAAATTCAAATCCCTGGTGAACCGGAACCTGGACTCATTCTTCCATGGGACTAAGAAAATGACGTGACTACACCCAGCTGCGGACCAAGAGCGGGCGGTATGTACCTCTACCCAGAGTTCCTGCACAGAGCAACCAAGGTCTGCTCCAAGCACCCGGCCTGTAGGGGAAAATATTAAAAGCCTCTGAAGACTTCCTAGAGTGATGGAGACTGGGTGGACACCCAGACAACTACAAACCTGATAACCTTTCAACCTTAAACCCCCAAAACCTCCTGAAGTCTTTTTGAAATGAAACAAGAGCTAGCATATCTAGTAAAGAATGTCTGCCTCGAGTAGTCACATTCTCTCTTAAGAACTGTCTCTATGCGAACAAACAACAGCAAGGGCAAGGAGCAGACAGGTGTTCACACAGTGGGAGGCTGAGCAGGAGGGCTGCACACAGGGCACTGGATGGAAAGGGCAGGGGCAGCAGTGAGCGTCTTGCTATATGTCTGCACAATGACTTTTTTTTTAATTGAAAACTCCACGGTACACAAATCTGTCTTGGAAGAAGTACAGCTGGAATGCGAAGGTGGCGAGACTTTGTCCCTGGAGAAGGACATCATGCTTGGTAAAGGAGAGGCGGCTAGAGAGAGGAAGGCCCTGGCTGAAGTGGGTTGACACAGTGGCTGCGACAATGGGCCCCCACATACGTACCACTGTGGGGACGGTGCAGGACGGGCAGTTCTTTCGTTCTGTTTTGAGCAGGGTCACAGTGAGTTGGACCCAACCCCATGGCACCTAACCACCACATGGTGCACAGCTAGCACCAGAGCTGCTCCTTGAGAACAAGTACCACCTCACTGTCACAGCGACCCTGCAGGACAGGGTAGAGGTGCCCCTCTGAGTTTCCCGGAGTCTAACTGTTTACAAGACAAGAAAGCTTCCTCTTCTCCTGGAAAGAGGCCAGTAGTTTCAAACAGATGACCTTGCAGTCAGCAGCCCAACGCATGTGTGTGTGCATGTGTGTATAGCAATAAATTAAAGAAACCAAATGTGCGCAGCAAGGATCTACTTTGGGCCAAGCACTAGATACGCCCGAAGCTGACCAAGGGACTCAGGCTCCCTGAAGCAGAGCAGTGAGGAGCTCACTGGTGGGACAGTGAGGTAACCTGATAGATGGGGCTGACCGGGGCTTCTGTCCCCTAAGACAGGAAAGGGGCTTACACCTTGAGAAGAAACAACCACAAACAATGCCAGTCTTGAACAAGCAAAGAGATGCTGGCTCACAAGCGCCCCCACCCTGGCAACCAGTGGGCAAGAGCCCCTTACCGTGACTGCTCCCGTTGACCTTCAGCAGGCTGAAGCAGTAGTGAGCACACTGGGGCCCACTGGCCAGTCCCCGGAGCATTTTCAAATAAGGAATATAAATAGTTGGAGGTAGCAGGTCACCCATTTGCCTAACAAACTTTGATAGGACAACCTGAAATTGGGAGGGGGGGGAACATATATATATATATTAATGAGGATAAGTAAAAAAAACATCACTACAAAAGCCACAGAAGCCTTTACTGCACAAAAATATCCAAATGTACAGCTACTGCTTCTTGACAGCTCCCCTGCTAGGTCTCTACACATCTGAAGGCAGTGTTTCCATCTCTCTAACCCAGCAGTTCTCAACCTGTGGGTCGTGACCTCTTTAGGGGGTCGAAGACCCTTTCTCAACCTGTGGGTTGTGACCCCTTTGGGGGTTGAAGACCCTTTCACAGGGGTCGCCGGATTCCTAACAGTAGCAAAATGACAGTGATGAAGTATCAATGAACAGAATTGTATGGTTGGGGGGGTCACCACATCATGAGGTACTGCACTAAAGGGGTGTGGCATTATGAAGGTTGAGAACCATCGCCCTAACCCTACCTGTCCCCAAAGCATTCTAAATCATGGTCTGGGCATCTCGAGCAACTCGAGACGTGTTTCTTCTATGCATTCTTTGAACTTAAGGAATACAAAAAGTCTGAAGGGGCAAGATCAGGGCTGAAGGGCAGTGGGGGTAAGTTTTACCAACCAGATTCTCATAGGACTGCCCTTGTTTACATGTGTGGATCAATCACCATCCAACCTCTTCCTGGGTGAGGGGACGGACCCACCATGAATGTTCAGTCACATGGACAGAAGGAAGAAGAAGACAACGGCTCCCGACCTCGGAGTGGATCGCAACTTTGAAATACAGAGCAGGAGAGCTGCGAGGCCAACTGACGACGGTTGGCTTCTGTGTAACACAGGGAGGAAGGAGTCCTGACTGCGCTATCACCAGGGTCCAGGCTTCCGTTCCACTACTTGTACCTCTCTCCCCATCAGCATCGTCAGAGGGACGTGAACGCCTCACTGTCTTGAGGACTAAACCATCACCACGCTTAAGTAAACAGCATGTGAAGAACTTACTGACAAGGATACAGACACCAGACCCCTTTCTGCCGTCACTGCTCCTGACACACCGAGGACCTAACCTGACACACCGAGGACCTAACACGGGGCTGCCATGTGAACTCCCAAGTGCTCAGAACTGACTGGACAACGGGCTTCACACTCCCTGAGTTCATGAAAAAGTACAGCATCCTACAGATTACACAGCCGTCCTTTGTGCTTAAATAGCAACAACCTCAGGGACAAACACTTTTCTTCCCGGGTGAAATGCCCAGCCATCACTAGCAAAAAGACAAGGAGAACTCACCTGGCGTTGCGGGGGTCGCTGGTGCGCCACCCCCAGGTAAGAGCCCATGACGGTGGAGGTCTGAAGGGGCTCCGAGGGGCACCAGTACTCCAGAGCGAGCTCCAGGTTAAATGAGTTCTTTTTGTACAGTTCACCAATCTGCAGAGAGCAGGCACAGGTGCCGTAGGGAGACGCTGTTATTTACACAGGACACTGACAGCTTCAAAATGTATGTTGTGCGTGAACTTGCACAATGAAGGTCATAGCCTAGAAGCTTTCCAAAAGGAGGGAAAAGACCACAGAGGTGGAGCTCCCAGCTGGCCGACCCAATGGCTTACCAGGAGCATGAGGTGTTCGAGGTCCTTCCGAAGGGAGAGCGGGGGCTCATTGCCCATCTGCAGGCTCATGTGAACCATGCGAGCGTCTTCGTCGGCCCGATTCCGCAGCTGCTTCACCTGGTCAATGCATTAAGGACGGTTTACCCCCGGGTTCATGACAATGAAACCAGAACATCAGGCCACACTGCCTTAAAGAGTTTCCATAAAAAACAACATTGTTTAACATCCATGCATTTCAATGATGTAAGAAAAAATGCTGGGAATTTTACTGCTGATTTATTATTATCCATATTTTCTAATATTCAGAGCCCTCAATGAATTTGTGCTGTGGTTCCACATCTGCACTGGGGGCAGGATGTTCCCTCACCATGCAGAACTATCCAGAGTATTCTGGGAAGTCTAGTGTCCCTGCAATGACCTACTAACTGGCGGTCAATCCCGCCTCTGGTTATCGTAACAGGCAGCAACAAGCCCGTTCTCTTCCCAAACACCCCAAGAGGGCAGTACAGCCCTGGCTGAGAACCACTGCCTTCTAACAACTGTGTGAAACATATGAGAGAGGCACAAAGAACTATGTCTCCCTTAAACAGATATACCAAATCCCTAACCACAGATCTCAATACTTCTTTCCAAATAGTCAATGACTATCGAGTCAACTCGGACTCATAGCAGCCCCGTAGGACAGGGCAGAAGTGCCCGGGTGAGTTTCCAGGACTGTAACTCTTTACAGGACTAGAAAGTCCACAAAGTCTTTGGGTAGACACAAAAAGGATGAACCCTAGAGAAAAGGATTAGAGACTCTGGATGTCAAAAAACATTTTTAATTTTGTTCCTAAAAAGATACAGCCAAGCCTTCGTCTTTCCATAAACCAAGTGCCATCTGGACACCGGAGCAGGAGGCACGTCCAGCCAGAATAGGCTGCCTACCTTCATGGGCATGAGTGCCAGGAAATCCGTAATGAGATTATGGATTCTGCGGATATAGAACTCCTCCTGGTAGAAGTTCTCCGAGCCGACAACCGACTCCGTGAGGAACAGGAAAACATTGTCAGCAATCGCCAGCTCGGCCATGGCTTCGTCTGCTTCCGTGAACTCAGCCAGAGCTACAAACACATGTGGGGAAACAGCACAGGAGGGTGAAGTCATTAACCCAGGTCACAGTATTGGCAAATACTCTGCCAATGGTACCGAGTCTCGGTCTCTTCTCGACCCTCTAGCATGTGCTATGCACAAAACCAGACTACCGCTGTGTAACTCTAATGATTCACAAACCCAGGGGGCTGTGAGAAAAGTGCATGAGAAAGAAAAGCGTCCTTTATAAAAACAGTGATCAATGAAGATGAAGTTAGAGAACTGTGCCATGACACTGCTATCGACAGAGGGCGAGTTCGTACCCTAGCAGAAACACATCGAAATGACCTCAGGCTTGGATCTCCGGCAAGCACTAGGTGGGGCATTCAGTCTCAAAAATGACAGCCAAACTGTGGCCTAACCAACTGGGTATTTGTCATCAAGCAGCTAAAAGTTTTCAATAATTAAGCTTTTTAAAACTCTTTTATTAAGAGGGGGCTCTTACAGCTCTTATGGCAATCTATGCATCAACTATGTCAAGTATATTTGTACATATACTGCCATCGTTAAAAAATTAAATCTTGATGTATGTATGTATGGATGGATGGATTGTGATAAGAGTTGTATGAGCCCCTAATAAAACGATTTCAGAAAATTAAATCTTTAACAGGTCTACTTAATTTTTTCTTGAAAAAATTTTAGTAAGATCTCAAAATAGACTGAATTGATGAAGCTCCTCATACTCATCACCCACACCTCACCATTATCAATTCATGACTACACTTATTTCACATGAGCTCCCATTTTATCCACAGAATATAATTCTACTCAAGAAGATACTCAGAGGCTTCAAGAAGTCCATGAGGGGGAAAAGGTATTATAAGAAGATAATGGCATTTTTCCATGAAGTTTTTGAAGTCCTCTTAAAAAACAAATGGAAAATAGACCATACCCAGGCACAGCATCCCATTATCAGATCTTAAAAAGCTATCAACTGCAATTCCTAAGATCCCGTCATGTCAAGTATGTAGACTAGTGTTTCACCAAGTGGTGGTACTACCCCCAGGAGGGCACTGGAACAATCGGAAGGGGGGCGGGGTGAGATTTGCTGCAAAAGCAGACCCCTACCCGCCACACTTTATGCTAGATTACAGGTGGAAGGACAAAAGGGGGCTTTTTCCCTTAGTGGGCTAGGGGAGGGGGCGGCAGTAGGCCAAAGAAGCTGGGGAGCCGACAGTAAACAAAGGTTAAATTCCCAACCGTCGTATCAATACCAAGGAAAGTTTTGGTGGAGTTCTGCTAATAATGTGTTCTACTGTTTGCTTCTTGAATCAGGATCTACATAAGACTACACAGTAACTGGCAAGCTCCCCCTTGCCATTTATTTCTTGAAGAGATGTGTCTGAAGTCCTCCATGCTTTCCAACCCTGCAGCCTGCCGCTGCATCTGAAAGACAGGGAGTTTGTTCGAGAGGCCAGATCTGGCTTACATGGATTAGAGCAGTGGTTCTCAACGTGTAGGTCGAGACCCCTTTGGTGAGTCCAACGATCCTTTCATGGGGGCGCCTAAGACCGTCAGAAAACACCTATTTCCAGTGGTCTCGGGAACCGAGACTCAGCTCCTCTATCCGTCCCCAGGCGGCCTGCCTACACGCAGATACACCCACCTACAAGTACTCGGCAAAAGTCCGTTTGCTATCCATGCTACACCATGCTTCAAGCGTAAATTTCATTTATTTGTCATTAGAAATAAATATTTCACAATATGTAATTACATACTGTTTTTGTGATTCATCACTATGCTTTAATTATGTTCAATTTGTAACGATGAAAATATGTCCTGCATATCAGTTATTTACATGACAATTCATAACAGTAGCAAAATTACAGTGATGAAGTAGCAATGAAAATAATGTTATGGTTGGGGGTCACCACATGAGGAACTGTATGAAAGGGTCTCTGCATGAGGAAGGTTGAGAACCACTGGATTAGAGGTAGCTCTGGGAGTCCTTCTATCAAAGCACACCTTCGTAGGTAACCGTGTGGTGGTCTAGTTTGGGAGAACTGCTGCATTAGGTGTCCTGACGGTGAAACCAGTGCAGGCTGAAAGTGCACTGTGCTGCCTCGAAAGCGCTGGGAAGAGGCCTAAGTCAGAACCGTTTCCACTGGGAGAAAACAAGCAACACGGTCTTTGCTTCTTGGTTGAGGTTTTGAAAAAGGCAGTTCGTATATTTTTCCTTACCATGCAAAACAGTTTCTCAAATCCTTACTATGATCAGTAACCATTATTAACAGTAATACTAAAGCCAATGTTTTGTGATTAATGCCAATGTTTCAAATGAATTTGGAAACACTGGAATTAAAATTGTAAAGTGATCCATTAGTATATTACAATTTTGTAGTTTCATAATATTCCTAACATCCTCCCGCTTTTTTTAATGAGGCTGTTAATAAGCACATATGATCAATTTTTCAGAAACCTAGCATGAGAACAGAAACTAATTTTTCAAAATTCTGATCACTGCTCCAACATGGAACCACATCAAGTGTCCTACAAGTGACAAAGGGGCATGCAAAATGTGGTTCAGAAGGACATCGCAGGAGGACGGACATCATGCTGAGTGAAATAGGACGGGCGGGTGTCCTAGACCTCATTTATGATATAGCTAGAAACAAGGAACAGTAAGTGGTTATCAGGGCCTGGGGGAGGGGGGGTTTAATGGAGCCATTGCTGCTCTGGTGCTCTGATGGTTATGCATTGGACTGCTAACTACAAGGTCAGTAGTTCAAAACCACCAGCCGTTCTGTGGTGGAAAGACAAGGTTTTCTATCCCTATAAAGAGCTTCCGTCTCAAACACCCAGAGGCAGTTCTACCCTGTCCTGTAGGGTCTTTCTGAGTGGCATGGACTTAACGGCAGTGAGTGTCCTGGGCTTCCGCGGGGAGGGAAGGAACTATTGGAAGTGGAGGGTGGTGATGGTACAAGACAGTGAACATGATTTCACATCACTCAAGTGTACGCTTAAAACCCGATTCAGAAGGCAAACTTTGTTACATGGATTTCACTATACATAAAACTGAAAAAGGAAACAAACTCTGAACTATTTCAAGAAATCTGCCATTACAAAAAATGCTATTCAGTTTTTCTTTGATTTTTTAAAGTGCAAATATACACTGAAAAGTCTTCCACCTTTCTGAAATGTAAGTGATAATTCCTCCAATTATTGACACTTATGAAAAGGCATGAACATGTAGAACATGTAGAATCAAAGACATTAGGTCATGAGCCAAAATACCCAGGCCTTGAAGCCAGGTCTGTCATGCCCAGCTTGTTCCCACCTGGCAAACCTCGGCATAAACAGCCTAACAATGGGAAACAGATTACAGCTTAGAGATCTGATGAACCATTACATAGTCACTTCGAATTATAAAAGGCAATTTGGGGGCCAGAAAAAGTACTGACATAACATTTACCAATGAATATACTATAATTGAAAATAGAGTTAACATATAAATGCAAGTCTCGAGCATCTGTCAGCCTTTGTTCTCATTCCCCTAAAGAAAGCTGCAACAAAAGCCCTCTTAGCACATCACACGGGCTAAGAGGCTTTCTCGAGACCTCAAGGCCAGCATGACATGAGTGAGCACGATGTCCCAGAATCGAGCAATTGAGAAGCTGCTGGATTCTGTGGCGCGGCCCTGACAACAGGGAACACTGACCTGCAGGGCGAGAAAGACTTTGCAGGCTTTGCAGAAGCGACAAGCCCCTGAGACTCACGGTATAATAGCTAAGTTCTCATCCTGCCAGGTCAGCGTACACCTCGGTGTTTGATACTTACAGGAAGGTAAACAGAGCCTCAGGAGAGTTGTGGACAGCGTGAATCATCTCACAGACAGTGGGGAGTGGAGGGTGAAAAATCAGAAGGCCACAAGCATTCTTGCCTGGGCCAAATAACTGTCTCCTTTCGGTACTGTGCATTTCTAACCTGACATCATGTGGCAAATGGATTAAGGTTTGTAAGCAAAAACAAGAAGGAAAAGTATGGAAATATAGTTTTTTAAAGTTATTGAATGCAAAACACTGAGCACTGAGACAGGCTTCAAGAAAGAACATATCCCATTTACAACTAACCACCCTTGCAGGGCTCTTTTTGAGAAGATAGATTACACTGCTGTTCCCAGTCTTCGATGTTCGCTTGCAGATCAGCTTTATAAAAACAGTGAAAGTAAAAGGGCAGAGAAGGAGAACTATAAAAAGGAAAGAAAAAAAGAAGACTAAAGAGGCATTCAACTTGTGTCAGAACACTTAGTGCTGTCATTGGAATGGAGCCCTGTTATGAGCTGGGACCCTTTGTTTTCCACGGCTCGTTTACAAAGGCTCCTTACCAAACTCTACACCTTGTACTCCATCCATGTTTGTATACTTCACCAGGAGCGCCCCTCCCGAGACATCAGTCGATGCTGACACGTCTCTTTCCAGAGCACAATTGCTGATAAGCACATCACCTGTCACGTCGGGCAGCTGGGAGATCCCCCTCAGGGCCAGTGCCCAGGCGAGCCTGACGGTGGCCTGCAGGCCGGGCAGTTTCCACAGCTGGGAGTCTTGTAGGCGAGAGTGGATGGTGGCAATGTACTGCCTCTCCGTCAAGAGTGGGAGCTGCTGGAGTATATCTGGAAACACAAAGACAGACCACTGGGCCAGAGCCGGAGAAACCAGTGCTTATTTTCCACACACACTGTGATGAATTAACATGAAGGGGCGACACAGCAACAAATGCACGACCTACTGGATTGTACACAGTATGAACGTGAAAGAGAAAACAGACTGTGATGCTAACTTTCCATTGTTTCTAGTGATTTGTGGACAAGTCCTAACTACCTAAAAGAGCACACAGAATCACTCCATCTTCCTGCAGATGAAATCTAAAATATTAACCAATACGACCTAAAGATCAAGTCAAAAATTAATTTCCAAACACGGCCTGAGATTTTGTTCCTTGGTTTGGAGAAGGTTCAGGGTTGTGGTTTCCTGAGACATCTCAGTTAACTGGACTGATAACAAGTGTTGCTGTTTGTAAGCAAATATCCAACACTCAGCAAAATTGATCTCCATTCTCCTAGAACAATAGGGGGAGGAGGAGTCGGGACAGGAAATGTGCTGCCTTCATGAACAACTGCCTCCTTTGCTCTAAGACCAAAAGAACTAGAAGGTGCCCAGCTATCATTACGGAATACTTTGATCACAGATTTCATTAAAGAATCCTAATCAGAAGGGGGAAATGCAGAAAAGAACTTCAAATTCTCACGGACTCTAGGTTTTCTGGAATCAGGGAGGCAGGATGAACCCCTAGAACAATTGCTCTGTGATCATCTTTAAACCATCAACCAAATATATCCCCTGACATCATCTTAAAACTAAATGATCATTTAGCTTAACCAGTAAAATGGGTATGCCTTGAGCAGTGAGCTCTTCTAAGAACTCTCTACCTGGGATCAAACTGACAAGAGCCACTCCACAGATTAAATGGAAACCCTAGGGGGCACGGAATGTGCATTACCGGGGTGGAACCACTTGGAAGAGGATGTGAATGGTTGCACAACTCAAAGAGTGTGATCAGTGACACTGAACTACACATGCAAACCACTGAATCGATGTATGTTTTGCTGTGTGTCAGGAATGCTAGTGGTGTAGCAATTAGACCCTCAATGGCTAACCACACTGTCAGTGGTTTCACCTCGCCAGCCACTCAAGGGGGAGAGATGTGGCTCAGCTCCGGTCAAGACTAGCAGTTCTACTAGGTCCTTCAAGGCCTGGATGGGTTGAGATCAACTCTGTGGCAGTGGGTCTGATTTGGGGTTTAGCTGTGTTTGCTGGGGTTTGCTCAACAAGATGAATAAAATTGGGGAAGAATACTAGCTAAGTGGACTGAATTTAAAACAACAAACACTGATCCAAACAAAAGAAGCAAGGAGCTACTCAGGCTTACAGCACGTACGAAACAGCACGCAATCCTAAGCAGACCCATCCCGCCACAGGGCTCTGTAGATAAGTGCAGGATTCTGAATAAACACAGAAAAATCCAGGGACCATCTCAGGATTCATTGGCTTTTCTTTGCTATTTTCCGGGAACTATCTAAAAATTCACTTAATTTCCTTCATCATTTTCTGATACTTCCTTCTAATAACCATATTATAAGTAACTTCTAACAAAGAAAAACTCATTCTTTAATTCTCTTCTATCAGATATGCATTAACCATTTATGCCACCCATGTATTTATTAGTCAAAGATATACAGAATGACCAACAAGAACTTAGAATCAAAATGAAGTAATAGAAGTACTCGTGGTATAGTGGTTACTAATTGGGATGCTAACCACAAGGTCAACGGTTTGAAAAGACCAACTGCTCCAGGAGAGAAAGTTAAGGCTTTCTACTCCCGTAAGGAGTTACAGTCTAAGGAACCCTACAGGGTCTCTAGGAGTCATGATCCGATTCAATGGCAGGGAGTTTGGTTTGGAACTGGAAAAGATTTCAGCTGAAGTCAAAACACTGCATCTTCGCCTGTGACATTTCATTCCACTTGGCTTATGAGGACCCCAGCTTAGCAACTTCCACTAAAGCCTTTGGGCTGCAAGACCCCCCCCTGGTCTTGCCTCCCTCGAGCTAGCTCTGTGCCTCACGTCATTCAGCACAGGACTTCCAACCGATGCTTTAGCTCTCTGCTCCCTGTGACACACAACATGTGACAACTTGCTTGGGGCTCAAGGTGGCTGTGGTGGAAGCCAGCTTTCCCTAGTCGCAAAGGACAGTCACCAAGGAGATGGTGCCGATATCCGGCTCCCACACACCTAACAAGAGGCCTTGATGGCATAGCCCCGTAGACAGAAAGTCAATGGCAATCATCTATTTTGGTAGGGATCCTCACTGAGATCCTCACGTCTGGGTACCAACTGCTTACAAGCTACCCTCAACACAGAAACTGTAAGTCAGAGATTATGGACATGAGAGTTACCCATGCTGACAGCATTTTCATAAAAGGTTTAAAAGCGTGGAACAATATTAAAGAAACCAATAGGCTAGGCCTACATACACGGAGACTTGCCCATTCCAAATGCCAAAAAAACAAAAGAAACGTGCCGCTTTACTCAAAATGTGATCTCAGAGCTCAACGCCCCAACTTGGGGGCTTTGCACTGGGGTGGAGGGTGGGGGGTGGGGGGAATGCCATTCTCAAAGTTTCCACCAGCAGGTGCCGCCCTTCTTCCCCGCTACCACCAGTCATGGGACCTAGTGTTGGAAAGTCAGGGCTAGTACCATCGCGTTCCTCGGTGCCCTGCTCTATGAAGCTGGTGTCGAAGCAGTACAGGAGAGCCATGAGCAGGGCCAGGTTCACTGCATCCAATGCGCCGTTGGCCTCCACGGTCACTCTCTCCAGATGCCCTATAAGGAGCAGGGTGTCATCTTTGCCCAAAGGGGACTGGCAAGCCCAGGCAAAAAGGCTTTCGGCCAGGGATTGTCTGCATTCCTTGATGAGATCGGACACCTGGAAAAAAAACAGCACTGGTATCATAACAGAAAAACTACACCACCCCTCGGTCTAACACTAAAACAAAAAGCTATCTTTTCTAACAGCCAACTTGATAAAGCCTCTTTGGATCTACAAGGGATCCTAAACTCTCACCTACAGAATTCTGAGCAAACCCGCTTTTCCTAAATCTGCACCCTAACGGGGTGGCCACTATCTTGAAGAACAAGTAGACACACATGTCAGGGTCAATCAAGAAGCTGAAACAATTGCAAAAAAAAAAGAAACGATTGCAAGTGAATTTTCCCCTGCCTTCTTCCTCTTCTCTATTGGATCACTTCATGTCATGGCTTGTCTGCCCTGTGATTCACCCAGACAAGCCACAAGATGACCTCGTGGGACCCTTGCCTCTTTGCGATGCTTTTCACTGCCCAAGCCTCTCTCTCGCTGGAGCTTCTCAAACTCATTGTTCACGTCAATCTGTGACACGAGGGTAAGAATTTTATAAGTCAATCCTTGCTCCATCAGCTCATCTGTAAAACGCGTTGTCATGGAAACCAGCTCTGGACTGTAATGAAAAGAAATCCGAGTGAGCAAAGCCATAAAGAACAATAAACTCGCTAACGAACACCCCCAGCTCTTTTACTTAGTGCGGTGGGCGGCAGCGCTAAGCAACAGGGGGAACTCTACAACTTGGCTCCATCCATCAGGGCTACACATTGGGCTTCAATAGGTTTCTATGTAAGAATAACCGGATGCTTCTTTATAAGGAAATCATATCAGGTTTAAGTTGTCATGTCACTCTGAGCAGAATCAGACAGTATTCATTTATAGAGTTTACGCATATTACACATAGTGAGGGAAGTCCTGCTGGCCCCAAAAATGATGCCGTCTGCCTGAGATCACAGGAAGCAAACAGACCTGAGTTCGAGGGTCCAGGTCTTTCCGCGCCGCGACTGAACCAAGGCTTTCAGGGAGTTTGCGATGCACCGCTTTCCATCCCAGTACAGGAGCACAGCGACGAGGCCTCTGGTAAGGCCAGGGAAGTGTGGCTGCTGGTGCTCCCCTGGAAAAGGGGGTGGAAACCAAGGCAATGAGAAAACACGTGGATTTGGGATTAAGAGCAGAGTCTCAACGGCAAAGTTCAGGCCAAAGATTCTCAGGTGCTCTGGGGTGAAGAGTATGGGCAACGCAAACTGCCAACAAGTTTTGCTGCAGACAGAAGGCTGGAGGTTTGAGGCCACCCTGAGGCTGCACCTTGGAAGAAGGGCCCGGTGATCCACATCTGAAAAGCCAGCCCTGTAAAATGAACCTGTGGAAAACCTCTCTACTGTCACAGGTGGGGTGGCCAGGAGTCGAAACTCACCCGGAGGCATGGGGCTCTTGGTTTGCGTGTCCTCTTCTAGAATCAGCCACCCCTTTTCTACTTAGCAACCTCGAGGGGCCAGCCAGCCAGGCTTGACCACAGCAATGATTCAGAACGCACCATCTAGCAAATTCCCAAGTTCACCCTCACCCCACAGTCAGAGTGCTCCTTAGAAGTCAGAATGATAAAACTTCATCTCACATATTTTGAACATGTTGCCAGGAGAGATGAGTCCCTGGAGAAAGACATCATGCTTGGTAAAGTAGAGGGGCAGCAAAAAAAGAGGCAAGCCCTTGACAAAATGGATTGACACAGTGGCTGCCATTTGTGAGGATGGCACAGGACTGGGCAGTGTTCCGTTCTGTTGTGCACAGGGTCGCTATGGGGCGGAGCCAAGTCAGTGCCAACTACCAACAACACTGTCTACATGCTCCCTCCCTCCCCGTTGGGCGGTAGTCACAGGTCCCAGTTCAAGCCCTCGCTATTGGTCCTGCTTGGAAGACCCTGTCGGGCTGGCACTCTCTCAGGGCTGGTGACCTCCTCTTTGGCGATATCTGGTGACACCTGCCTGCATGCAGCCTGCCTTGTCTCATTTCCTCCCTGGGACTTAGCAAGACCAAAATGACCTCTGATTTGGCCTCTTCTCACCTGAATTGCCACCCCAACGAGAATCTCCACACTGATGTACAGTGCCTCACAACTCAAGACGCACCACAAAACGTCCGCAAGGCTCTCCTCTCCACCACATAAAAGCCTTTCTTACAGCATCAAACTGCCTGTAACAGCGCTGATGCCTCCCCCGCCAGCGAAAATAACACAAAGAACATTCCCTGAATAGGTTTTCCATTTTAAAAAAGGGAAAGGGGAAATCCTTAAAAAAGCATTTGAAACCTGAAAAAGGCCACATCTGAAACCAGGAGCGTGATTTTGAAGTACCGACCCAACCAATGAGAACCTACCGGCAAGCAGTAGCTCCACAGCAGCCAGCTCCCCGATGTCAAAGAGGTCACTGAGGATAAAGGCTTCCTTAATGAGCTGCTCAGGGAGAAGGCGGGTCCCCTGCTGTCCTTGGATAGCAACGCCCTCAGTGCTGGCTTTCTGAACCTTCTCATGCTGCTGAACGTTCTTTGGCTGTAAAGGTGAAAAGACATAAATAAGACCGTGGAAGGACCAGAGCCCGCAGAAGACAAAGTCCTGAGCACTCCCCATAGGCAGAGTGTTGGTGACAGCACAACCTCGCGACTTTTAGAGGTTTCAGACCAGTCCAGCCAGGAGGCATGTGGCCTAATGCTACCTTCAACCGCTTCTCCTCCTAACTCCTTCTTCATGATCTCACTCAACTCTGATCGACAAAGTTTCAGAACACACTCCATACAGCATTCGGCTTTTCGAGTTCCAAAGGAACGTTGCTGATTCTATAGTTAATGAATGCAAAAAGCATGGTCTTCAGACGGGAAAGGGAAGCTGAATCAAGGAACTGCTGAATGGACCAGTAAAGCTAATGAGTATGCGCTCACACATTATGTAAAGATGGTCTTCGCCCCACATGACTGATTTGGGCCCCACAGTTAGCCAATGACATCTGATACAGAATTACTTGGTGCATCAATCGTAAAAGCTTACAATGCCAGCTCCTCTCTAAAAACATCACCTGGATCATCTAATCCAGACCACAGAGGAGAAAGCAAGACCTGCCTATGGTCTTGTAACTCCCTCGTGGTAGAGCCACGATTAGAAGTCAGCTCAACAGTCTCCCGGACTAGGGCATTTTCGACTGCACCATCCGAGGAAAAGCAGAAGGCCATTTCTCTGGTAACATCACCCCACGGAATAGCATGCAGGGGGCATGCTAGCATCAGAGGGAAAGGTGCAACAGCACTCGAGGGAGGACCCAGACATGAAACCCCTCCCCAGAAGCACTCCAGCCCTGGCTGCGTAAGATTTCAGGGTGCAGTGATAAGGGGCACCCACGAGTTAATTCACTCCGCTCAGGTCTCACTGAAAAGAATGAAAACATTGACGTGTGCCTGGAAAGACATCAAGTGGAGCCACCTCGCCAAGCTCAGAGGCCTTGTTAACCAGAGGTCAGAGATCTGAGAAGGAAACTCTTTCTGGGCTATACTGAACTTCCTAAATTACATTCAAATTTGACCAGGTTTATCGCCCAGCTACACATAAACACAGCATTCGCCTCTACGAGGAACGAGAGAGAACAGCTCCTACGAAAAACTTCAGCGTAAGGAGAACATGACTCTGGAGTGAGCCCACAGCACTTCACCTTTACAAGCATTCAGAGTTCACTTGCTGCCCTCCAACCTTTGAAGAAGAAAGCAAACCCAAGAAAAAAAAAATTCCTACTGGATTTTTGAAGAGTGAGATGAAGTCTGGCTTGTGTTTCTTCAGAATCATGTCGAGCAGGTGGACAGCTTCAGGTTGTCTTTTCCATAGCGTGCTCCCCACCGTCTGCCAGATGTCCTTGTAAGGACCCCACAGGCTAGCAGCTTCAAGACACACAGACAAACGACCGTCAAATAGAGCACAGCCATGTTCAAGTCTCACATTTCAGTCAGTCACCCTCAAAGCCGCTTATAGATCCCGGCACCCTGGCAGCACAGATGGGGAGGGAAGGGCTCAGCTGTAAAGTCAATGGTTGGTGGTTAGACGCCCACCCAGCAGCTCCACAGGAGAAAGACCTGGCAACCTGCTCCCGTGAGACCAGGAGCAGGAGGATGTCCGACCGAGAAACCGCCAATCCCAGCTAACCTCCCACAGGCGCCTCACCAAGGAGAAGCTGTTCCCGCCATCGTAGTTGGAGTGAGTTCATTACATGTTGGACCAGCATGGCCAAGCACGATGTTATAAGTATGTAAATGTCCCTTGGCAGCAAAAAAGGTTCCCTCCCCCTGCATTAGACAATATACAGTCTGGCTCATAAAATGCCCCGGGTGCCTGGTGCCACAGAGACCAGGGAACGGGGGGGGGGGGGGGGGGGGGGGGGGGGGGGGGGCGTGAAAAATGTGATAGTCTCTTAAAAGGGAGCTTGTGGCAAGTTGAAGCTCAGTTATCTAAGGTCTGCATTGTCTCATGTGGTTGTTTTAATGGACGGAAACCAACTTGGCAACAACCAGCAAGCACTGGGGAAAAAAAACACCGTCAACAAGTCAAACCTGACTCACACGGACCCTATAGGACAGAAGGACAAAAAGACTGAGCAGAACTGACACAGAGTGTTTCCAGATTGCAACTCGTTACAAGAGCAGCCAGCCTCATCTTTTTCCTGTGGAGTGCCTGGTGGATTTGAACTGCTGACCTTGTGGTTAGCTTGCCAATGCTTAACCCACTAGGCCACCAGCCTCACCAGCAAGCAGGTACGTGTACAAATCAGACATTCAAATAGAGTCATTAATGAGTATTCTCCATCAGCAATGTAAACATTTTATCTAATATAAGTGATGCCCTTACTTTAAATGCAGAATCATCCAAACCTGGTATTGCCATTAAAAAAAAAAGTTTTAAAAAAACCTACTACATCCTTAGAAACAGAATAACCGGAAACAAGGGAATGCTAAACCACTTTAAACTCGTTTCCTTATGTGGGAGGGGGTCTCTGCGCTGCACAAGGTAGCATGTGTGAGGGGCACAGCCTCTGATATAAGCAGGGGCTCCCCTCCCAGCCACAGGAAAAGCAGATTTAGAAGAATCTGAAACTTGCTTACCACATGTATCTCAGAAGTCTGATAAATGATTGGCTGTTTCTTTCCTTAAAAATAATACGGATTGCACAGCTTTTTAATATATTTAAAACATGGAATTGTACGGCATGCAAGTTGTCAATAAAAGTGTTACACTTTAATCTTTGTTTTAATATGCAATACAGCCCCCTGCCATCAAGTCCACTCTGACCCACAGCAACCCTAAAGCACAAGGCAGAAACGCCCCTTGTGGGTTTCTGAGACTAACTGTTGATGGGACTAGGAAGCCTCTCCTTTCTCATTAAGCAGCAGGCCAGTGGGTTTGAACTGCTCATCTGGTGCTAACACTTAACCCATTCCATGCCACCAGGGCTCCTTGAATCCACAATAAACAAAACCAAACTCACTGCCATCAAGTCAATTGCAACTCATCCTGTCCCTTTAGGAGGGTTCTGAGTTTGTAAACTAATGAATAGGAAACAGAACTTGTTAAAACATAACGTTTCTTTGTGCCACATATATTTAATAAGATCAGTGGGTTCTGATAACCCCACACACAACTCTTTTTATGAGGGCACATCCAGTAACAGACCAAAACTCTACGCACAAAAAACCACTGATACTGGATAGAAGGGTCCTGGTGGCACAGTGGGCTACCCTGCGAGGTCAACAGTTCAAACCCATCGAAAGATGTCCAGTTGCCTACAGATGGGCTTTGGGTCTCCACTCCGCACATCCCTCATTCTATGGTTTTTTGTTCTGATGATGCCTGATACCTCATCCCTTCGACACCTCGTGATCGCACAGGCTGGTGTGCTTCTTCCACGTGGGCTTTGTTGCTTCTGAGCTAGATGGCCGCTTGTTTACCTTCAAGCTTTTAAGACCCCAGACACTATATCTTTTGATAGCTGGGCAACATCAGCTTTCTTCACCACATTTACTTATGCACCCATTTGTCTTCAGTGATCATATTAGGGAGGTGAGCACACAATGACATGATTTTTTGTTCTTTGATGCCTGATAACTGATCCCTTCGGTACCTCGTGAACACGCAGGGTGGTGTGCTTCTTCCATGTGGGCTTTGTTGCTTCTGAGCTAAATGACCGCTTGTTTACCTTCAAGCCTTTAAGATCCTGGGCTATATCTTTTGATATCGGGCATCATCAGCTTTCTTCAGCACATCTGCTTATGCACCCGCTTTGTCTTCAGCGATTGTGTCGGGAAGGTGAGCATCATGGAATGCTGACCTGAGCCTTTCTTTACCAGAATGGCTGAAGCAGATGCAGACGCAACATCCCTGCTGCACAGAGTGGGTGGAAGATGAGTTAACCTTCCCCAGAGCAGTTAGGAGGGTGGGAGTGAGAGGTGACACGTCTTTGGAGAGGCTGGCTGTGAAGGAGAGAACAAACACAAGGTGGGGAAGGGCACCAACGGGGGCGTGGGGAGAACTGACAGAGCACAGGCGTGGGCTCGGTCAATGGACAGGCGCGGGAGCAGAGGGGAAGGATGCAGAGAGGGGCTGCCTTCGTCAGGAAAAGGGGGGAGCCTGGTCAAAAAGGCTGTAGATAGAGAGGTTCCTGTGTGACAGCCAACCCCGCAGACATGGAGAACTGCCTTCTGGGACTGTAAATCTCAGGGGGGCAGTTGGTGGAGGGACTCCATAGCAGTAAGACAGCAAACCAATCACAATGATCAATATATAGCCCCCTCCCAAGGGCCTGGCCAACAGAAAAGTGGGTGAAGAGAGACAGCAGTCGGTTTAAGACATGAAAAAATAATAATAATAATTTATAAATTTATCAAGAGGGAGGGAGGGTGGGAGAGGGAGGAAAAAATATAAGGAGCTGATACCAAGGGCCCAAGTAGAAAGAAAATGTTTTAGAATGATAATGGCAATGTATGTACAAATGTGCTTGAGACAATGGATGGATGTACAGATTATGATGAGTTCCTTATCATTTTATTGCTTCTGTAAGGATACAGTCTCAGAAACCCTAGGGCTGCTATGACTTGGAATCCACTCCCTGGTGGAGGTGTGCTTAGAACCCTGAGACTGCATGAAGGTAAACAAATGGCCATCTAGCTCAGAAGCAGCAAACCCCACATGGAAAAAGCACACCAGCCTGTGTGATCACGAGGTGTCGAAGGGATCAGGTACCGGGCATCAAAGAACAAAAAATCATATCATTGTGAATGAAGGGGAGTGCAGAGTGGGGACTCAAAGCTCATTTGTAGGCCACTGGAGATCCCCTTGCAGAGGGGTCTAAGGGAGGAGACAAGCCAGTCAGGGTACGATGTAGCAACAATGAAACACAACTTTCCTCTAGTTCCTAAATGCTTCCCCCCCCACACACACACTATTCATGATCCCAATTCTACCTTACAAATCTGACTAGACCAGAGGATGTACACTGGTACAGATAGAAACTGGAAACACAGGGAATCCAGGGCGGATGATCCCTTCAGGACCAGTGGTGAGAGTGGCGATACCGGGAGGGTGGAAGGAAGGTGGGGTGGAAAGAAGGAACCGATTACAGGGATCTACATATAACCTTCTCCCTGGGGGATAGACAACAGAAAAGTGGGTGAAGGGAGAAGTCAGACAGTGTTAGATATGACAAAATTATAATTTGTACATTATCAAGGGTTCAAGAGGGAGAGGGGAGCAGGGAGGGAGAGGGGGAAATGAGGATCTGATGCCAGGGGCTTAAGAGGAGAGCAAATGTTTTGAGAATGATGAGGGCAACGAATGTACAAATGTGCTTTACACAACTGACGTATGTATGGATTGTGATGAGTTGTATGAGCCCCCAATAAAATGATTAAGAGAAAAACCTCACTTCCACAGAATCTGACTCATAGCAACCCTATAGGAGGGCAGAGCAGTTTCTACAGGTTTCTGAGACAGTTAACTCTTTAAAAGCCTGTCTTTCTCCCAATAAAATGAAGTAGTCATGTATGGTTCATTAGTAGCCTATGGTAGTTTCTAAGGAACCCGGGTGGCATAGCACTGGTCTGTTAAATTCAAGGCACCGAGGCAGTTCTACCTGGCCCTATTGGCAGACTCTATGGCAGTGAGGTTGGTTTGGGGAAGTTACTAAGCCTCTTTAAGTCTCATTTCCAAACTTGTAAAATGAGGCATTTAAATGCAGGCCACTGCATAGGTACATCAAAGGGATTAAATGAGAAGACACGATGTCAACACTAATGTTTGGGCTGCGGGTGCTCAAACATAAACGCTGTCAATCTTATTAACGAATTTGGCCTGATGTTACTTTTCCAGTTCTATGAACTATAGAAGCAGAACTCTTACTCCACCCCCCCACCCCCACCCCTCAAAAAAGCCCTGGCTACTTCGACGCGCCCAAGAAAGTGTCCTCATGAGCGACCTTCTCTACAGGAAGTCACTACATCATTTCGTCATTGTGTCCAAACTTAAGTGCACCTCAGTCGGGTGCACTCAGCAGGGAAGTCCACGTGTCCGGGACTTCTGACACCCTGGCTCCGCCCGTTAAGTAAGTACTGGAAGGGGAGCCCAGCTCCGGGACCATCAATAGGCACCCAACATAGGAACGTTCGTCAGGGAGGTACCGTCCGGGGTGAGAAGAGCCCAAAGTGTCCGCACCCCAGATCTTCTAAACCCCACGGACGCCGGGAAAGCCGCGGCCCGGCGGTGCAGGAGCTTGCAGGGCCGCCACACCCGCAGGGCTGGGGGGGGTCACCTGGGGATCCCGCGGGAACCCCCGTCCCGCTGGCTTCCGGGTGACAAGCTCCTAAATCGAGGGTCCTCACTGCCCGCAGGTCTCCCCTAGGAGGGGCTCAGGGGTTGGAGCTCGTCAGGCTCTGCTCGTGGCTGAAAGAGTAGCCCGGGTCACCGGGCTCGTTGCTGGAGACCTGACCCAAAATCAGGGCCGAAGCCACCAAACAGGTAGCAGGAGGGAAGCCAGACTCGGGCCGGGCTGCGAAGGGCTGCACGGGCGACGGCAGGCGACGCCGCCTCGCTGCTCCGAACCCCACACGCTGTCCCGGGCGCGCGCCGCCATTCAAACGAGGGGCGGGACCCGAGGCCCACACCTAGAGAAGGGCGGGCGCCGAGCCCAAAGGGGGCCTCGGCCTCGGAGGGGCTCACAGCCCGCGGCTCTCCCGGAAGAACCGGTCCTCGGCCAACCCTACCCGGCCGTGTTACTTCTCCCCAGACGTACTCACCCGAATTTACCGCCAACGGCGTCGCCATCTTGCTGGAGGACTAACGAGCCTTCCGGCCGCGCGGAGGACCCCGCTGGGCGGGCTGTCCGCGGCGCCGCCTGAGCAGAAAGGGGCGCGTTGTCCCCCGAAAGGCATGCTCTGTGCAGTACGAAAGGCTCGAACACGCGCTCCGAGTCACAAACGTCACTTTTCACCGGAATTGTTCATCGTATTAAAATGAGGGGGCGGCGACTGGGGGGGAGCCGCGAGGGGGGCCTCGGTTTTACGTCCTCTGTGCGTTGCATCCTGGGAATTGTAGTTTTTCCTAATGAGCGAAGTTGGTTAGATGTAGGAAAAGACATGCCGAGTCGTGTTATTAAACTGATGCCTATCGCTGGTAGCACAAAAGACGTGCATTAAAATAATTCTCTGAAATGAAAATGAACTCTTCTTTACATGATACACTTCAAAAGCCATTGAACAGATATTAAATTTTCATTACACTGCAATAACAATAACTCAATAATGTATTGTGTCAACATAGTTGCAGAGAGTTAAAGGGGAAGCAAATTAT